TGCCTTCCAATTCTGTCCAACTCCCAGCCCCCTCAGCTCCCGCTCACATCGTGTCCCCGCCCCCATCACCCAGACCAAACCCTGGGGTCTACCTCTTCCCCATCCCCAAAGTCTTCATTCCTGCCCCAGGCAGTAGCCCTCCCCCAGCCGTTCTCTCACCATGATGCTGATACCCCCTGCCCACAAAGCCTGCCCACCTCTGCCTGGTGTTGGGCTCAGACCAGGTCTTCTTCCTCGGGGTGGGCCAGTGCTGCTGTGCTGGGACCTGTCTCAGCCCAGGACTGTCTCCCTCAGAGTGCCATGGGCAGAGCCAGGAGGCCTGGGTTCAAGTCACCTTCCATCTCTGATTAGCAGATGCTCTCGGGCATTTTCCCTCTGTGAGCCCAAGAGCATAACAACTGAGGCCCTGCTTACCTCACAGAGCTGTTTTGCTACCGGGTATGAGTGTGCTTTGTAGCCTGAGAAACTTGTGCCCTGTAATGGTAACAGCTACTATTTCATGAGTACCTACCATGGGCCAGGCATTTGACCCATGAAGTATGCATCTTTCTGTCCACAGATGAGAGAGGTTAGGTAACTTGCTTAGGGTCACGCAGCTAGGAAATTGCAGACTGGGGTTCAGGTGATGGCACCAAATAATAAGCTTGTTGGACTCTGCTTTACTCTCTCATAAGTGAAGGATAGTGACATAATTCTTCTTTTCTTTTCTTTTTTTTTTTTGAGACAGAGTCTTGCTCTGTCACCAGGCGCCAGGCTGGAGTGCAGTGGTGGGATCTCGGCTCACTGGGACCTCCACCTCCCAGTTTTAAGAAACTCTCCTGCCTCAGCCTCCCGAGTGGCTGGAACTACAGGTGCATGCCACCATGCCCAGCTAATTTTTGTATTTATAGTAGAGAGGGGGTTTCATCATGTTGGCCAGGATGGTCTTGATCTCTTGACCTTGTGATCCGCCCACCTCAGCCCCCCAAAGTGCTGGGATTACAGGCATGAGCCGCTGCGCCTGGCCATGATGTAATTATTCTAATTGCTATAGTTATCACAGCCTGGGTCTCTGGACTCTGCCCTCACAACACCTGGAATCAGGGAAAAGGACTTCCTGCCCCTCTTTGTTCCAAACCCTTGCTTATTCCCCCACTCCAATTTTATCTCAGGAGGTCCCTCTGTCCCAGGATGTTGGGTAGAAGGGAAAATTCTTGGGTTTATTTTGATGGTTAGCACCAACAACCAGGAACAACTTTTTTTTTTTCTTTTTGTGATGGACTCTCGCTGTGTCACCCAGGATGGAGTGCAGTGGCATGATCTCGGCCCACTGCAACCTCCACCTCCCAGATTCAAACCTCCACCTCCCAGATTCAAGCAATTCTCCTGCCTCAGCCTCCCAAGTAGCTGGGACTACAGGTGTGCACCACCGTGCCTGGTTAAGTTTTGTATTTTTAGTAGAAACAGGATTTCACCATTAGCCAGGCTGGTCTCAAACTCCTAACATCAATTGATATAACGTCAATTGATATATTTGGCCTCCCAAAGTAGTGGGATTACAGGTGTGAGCCACCGCGCCTGCCCAAAAACAACTCTTAACCCCCTACTCCCACTCTGCTTCCTTGCCCCTCATATTAGATAATCATGAAAGTAACCAAGGGAAGGTCTTGTATGCACAGCATACCCTCTACCCTATGTGTGTTCTCTCTCTTATCTTCTTACTCACAAAGGGAAGCCCCTAGGGGGCTCAGTGGCTGTCCAGCTCCCAGGAAAGCTGTTCACTGACTTTGAGGCCTGGGACCCCCACAGTCCCCAAGGAAGGCACCCTGAAACCCAGGGCCCTAAGTACTGCCACTCTTCCTTCGATGCCATCACTGTAGGTAAGAAGTTCCCACTGGTGCCTTACTTCTTTCTTCCCTCCTTTCCCACATCTCCTAGAGCCTCCAGAGCTGGAGTACAAGGTAGGGGGATGAACCGTAAAAGCCAGAAATCCCAAATCACAAGCACGCTGCAGGTCACAGCCCCACACTAAGCAAAACACTGCTTCTTCCTGCCCACTTTCCCAACTGACCCAACTGTGCACACCATATCCTGTGCTTGTCCATTTGGGAAACTGGCTTCTAGGACAGCATCTTCCCTGGAAAGACAGCAGGAGGCTGATGGTCACTCCTCAACTCTCTCTTGTCTCTGGGCAGACAGGCAACAGCAAGTGTACATTTTTAAAGGGAGCCACTTCTGGGAAGTGGCAGCTGATGGCAATGTCTCAGAGCCCCGTCCACTACAGGAAAGGTGGGCTGGGCTGCCCCCCAACATTGAGGCTGCGGCAGTGTCATTGGAGGATGGAGATTTCTACTTCTTCAAAGGTACTGGCTCTGTGGCAGCTGGGAAAACTGTGCCCTAGAGAGGGGACAAAAGAGGGGAAAACTCTCACAGGTCCATGGTGGAGTCTCTATTCCACTTAGAACCTATGACCCTGGGGAAGACTCCATCAGAAGGCACCTTTCCATGATGGATTAGGGAGCATCGAGTGTCGAGGTCCCAGGGAGCGTGTCAGAGAGGAGTCTAGAGGGAAGCAGAGGACTGCTCTTGATTTCTGCAATTCAGCAGAAAGAGCTGAATCTTCATTCGAATCCTAGCCGTGTGGGGTTGGACGTGTCACTCAACTTATGAATGTGCATTTCTCGAATGGGGAATCCAATACTTCAGATTTGCTGGGGAAGGAATATGAAAAGAGAATATTGCCTGGAGAGTACAATATATGACTAGATGCTTGGAAATAGGTAAATAGTATTCATTCATTTGTTCACTCATTCAACCAATATTGAGTGCCTTGTATGCACTAGACATGGTTGGATATGTTAGAGATATAGCAGTGAACGAAACAAAAATTTTTGCCCTCATAGAATCATTAGTAGTGATGGCAGTAGAGATGTCCATCTGCCCTCTGCTGACACCTGCTGGAAGTCTAGACAATAACGGTAGTCCCTACTACCACCTTGCTATTTATAACTAGTAGTACAATGCATTTTGATTGATAGGAATACTAACCATTGTGGGCTCTAGCTTAAGGGGGAAACAGAGGTATGGGGGACAGAGGTGGGGTGGAAGGCCAATGAGTGACAGCCTCCAACTCACCCTGGCTCTCCCAATGGTCCACAGGGGGTCAGTGCTGGAGGTTCCGGGGCCCCAAGCCAGTGTGGGGTCTCCCACAGCTGTGCCGGGCAGGGGGCCTGCCCCGCCATCCCGACGCCGCCCTCTTCTTCCCTCCTCTGCGCCGCCTCATCCTCTTCAAGGGTGCCCGGTACTACGTGCTGGCCCGAGGGGGGCTGCAAGTGGAACCCTACTACCCCCGAAGTCTGCAGGACTGGGGCGGCATCCCTGAGGAGGTCAGCGGCGCTCTGCCGAGGCCCGATGGCTCCATCATCTTCTTCCGAGACGACCAATACTGGCACGTCGACCAGGCCAAACTGTGGGCGACCACCTCGGGCCGCTGGGCCACTGAGCTGCCCTGGATGGGCTGCTGGCATGCTAACTCGGGAAGCACCCTGTTCTGAAGGCACCTCCTCACCTCAGGAACTGGTGGTGCTCTCAGGGCGAAATTGTGCTCCCCACCCCTGGGGCAGAACCTGTCTCTCTGAGTCCCTCTGTAGAAGACCCGTCAGCAAAGCCTCCATCTGGAAGTTTGCCTGCCTTTGTTCCTTGAAGAATGCAGCATTGTCTTTGTTTCCACCAGATGGAGATGGGGGGTGGGATCAATCTTAGGGAAAGCAAAAAAGGGTCCCAGATCCCTTGGCCCTTTACTCCAAGGACCTCTGTCTTTCCCAGGCCTTGAGGATTTTATTTCTTCTGCTAAAGGTACAGTTCTATTCAAGAGGCGACGGCCCCAGGATCCAAGCAGGGGATGTGAAACTCAACAGGGAGATTAGAGATACCATTTTGCAAGACTGCGCGGTTCTCCCCAGGACCTCCTGGCTTAGTTCTCGGAAAACAGTGTCGTGTTTAGTCAGAGGCCTCACCCCCAAAAAGCATGCATGGGGGTGAGGGCACAGGTGTCTCCAACCTCAGAGGCCCTTCGTGGGGTCAGGACCCAGAGAGGGAAGGGGACTGATGCAGGTCCCTGTGGGTCCCTGGCTTTTTGTCCTGGGCTAGAATAAAGAGGTGTCTTCAGCTGGTGGGCCGAGAGGCAGGAAGCAGCCTTCCTTGGAGCAGTTCCTCCAGCCTTTGCAGGGATAGCAGGTGAGCATGGGCGCAGAGGAGGCCAGGGCCATGCTCTTCCATCCAAGCTAGGGCCAGCTAGCTCTGTGTGTGTGTGTGTGTGTGTGTGTGTGTGTGCGCGCGCGCGCGCGCGCGCGCAGCATGTGGAACTGTGACGGAGAGAGGGGGCCTGCCTCTCCTCAAAACAAAATGTCCTTGCCCCCCAGACCAGATGGGGAACCATGCACAGCAGGGAGAGGTCAAGGGGCCTTCCTGGGGGTCTGCAATGCTGCAGGCGGTGGGGATGCAGTCCAACAGGCAGCCTTGCAGGCTGGGGTTGGCTTTGTGCTCACAATGGCGGCATTCTCCAGGCCACACATGCGGCTTTCCCAAAGCTCCTGCCATCTGGCCAAGAATAGCTGGGATTCCTGGAGAAGGAACGGGCTCCCCAGCCTCCGTGTCTTCTGCTTCCACCCATGCCAGCATTTATTTTAGCATCTGGTTTTCCAGGTTTCTCCCACCCCTCCACACCTGCCAGTGCCTCATCTACACAGCACTGACCTTAGGAAGCCAGGGCATCCAGGGGAGGGGAGAACTGTCTGGCAAGGATTCAGGGCTCCGCTCCTCAGGGCCATTGTTGGCCCTGCCCCTTCATTTTCTTCTCTGCGCATCGGGCAGAAGGCCCTTTGACTGCCTTTGGATACAAATGCTTGTACCATTCTGGGGAGGCGAGGGAAGAGGCTCCCTGCCCACGATTTTACCTCTGGCTTGAACCTGAGGAGGACCATCCCCAACCAGAGCCACCGTGTCCCACCTCAAAGCACTGATAATTTGATCAGAGGTTTTATTGAATGGTTTCAGGGAAAGAGGCAGGTTTGTCAGAAGGATGAGGGAACCTGGAGGTTATTTTCTCTTGCCTCTGCCCACCGGGCCAGAAGGATCTGAAATACCAAAGAGGTGAAGGTGAGGCTGTGTGAGCGGCAGAGTCAGGTGTGCGGTGGCGCTGGTGCTGCGTGGGGTTGGGGAACCCTGGGTGGGCGCTGTTCACAGTGGGCTCTAGGCTATGCTGGGCTATGCACTGGGGGCGCTAGGTGGCAGGTGGGAACCAAGCAACAACAGTGGGCCTTCTTGCTTGACAGGAGCGCTCTGGGCGGCAGCTGAGAAAGAGCGTTTCTGTGGAATGCGCGGGAGAGGGCTCCGCGTCCCGGGAGAGGTTGGTGGGGGATCTGGGCCGGAAAGGATGGAGAGCACAAAACTGGGAGTGGGGGTGCTCAATAGGCCCCAGCGGCCCCTGCCTTACCCAGATCCGGGTGATCCAGAACGCAGTGCGCCACATAGGCTGGATGGCTGTGCAGACTGCTGCATTTCTTGCAGAAAAGGATCTCGCACCGCTCACAGACCCCGCGGCGCGGCGGTCGTCGCCGGATCTCCAGCACGCACAGCTCTTCCGGGAGGCTCCGCTTCCTGCCGGCGGGGACCAAGCACTCATTGCCTGGGGCCGCCTCTCCTCCCTAGGGCCCGGGCACCGCGTGCCTAGTGCTCCGGCCGAGGAGCGCGCAGTCACCTGTCCGTGGGAGCAGTCAGGACGCCCAGCAGCGCGAAGGGGCTGAGCCAGCTCCAGAAGCCAGGGTCCGCGCGCCGCAACAGCGCCACCTCCTGGGTGCTGGACTCCTGGCGCAGCGGACTGTAGGATACCGAGCGCCGTTCGCTGCCCTCGCCCTCCGCCGCGCTATCCTCCGGCGGCCTCTGGTAGTCTTTGTCCTCCGACCCCTCCTTCGCTTCCTCCTGCTCCGCCTCCCCGGCCCTGGCCTCCTCCGGTTCCTTCTTCCACAACGGAGTCTTCACACCTGTGGGCCAGGAGGAGGTCAGGGCTGTCCTGCTGTCGCCGAGAAAGGGTCCACGATATTTTTTCAATGGAGACAGGGTCTCTCTTGGTCGCCCGGGCTGGAGTGCAGTGGCGCCATCTCGGCTCACTGCAACCTCCGCCTCACAGGTTCAAGCGATTCTCCTGCCTCAGCCTCTCAACTAGCTGGGATTACAGGCGTCCACCACTGCATTTTTAGTAGAAACGGAGTTTCACCATGTTGGCCAGGCTGGTCTCAAACTCCTGACCTCAGGTGATCCGCCCGCTTCGGCCTCCCAAAGTGCTGGGATTTCAGGCGTGAGCCACCACACGTGGCCCAGGATAATTTTTCAAAAAATGTTTGTAAGTCGGAGCATGATGGCTCATACCTGTAATCTCAGCACTTTGGGAGGTCGAGGCAGGCCGCTGGCTTGATCTCAAAGAATTCGAGACCAGTGTGGGCAACAAGGTGAGACCCTCTCTCTACAAAAAAAAAAAAAAAAAGCCGGGCGTGGTGGCATACACCTGTGGTCCCAGCTACTTGGACTTGGGAGACTGAGATGGGAGGAAGCTGAGCTGGGGAAGTCGAGGCTACAGTGAGCCATGATCACACCACCTCACTCCAGCCTAGGTGACAGAGTGGGACTCCATCTCTACTGTAATAATAATAATTATTATTATTACTATTATTTTGAGATGGAGTCTTGCTCTGTAGCCCAGGCTGGAATGCAGTGGTGCCATCTTGGTTCTCCAGAACCTCTGCCTCCCCGTCCCAGTTCAAGCAATTCTCCTGCCTCAGCCTCCCGAGTAGCTGGGATTACAGGCACATGCCACCATACCCAGCTATTTTATTTTTTATTTGTATTTTTAGTAGAGACAGGGTTTCATCATGTTGGCCAAGCTGGTCTTGAACTCCTGACCTTGTGATCCACCCACCTCGGCTTCCCAAAGTGCTGGGATTACAGGCATGAGCCACTGCACCTGGCCAAAAAAAATTTTTTGAGGCAGGGTCTCACCATTTTGCCCAGGCTGATACTTCTGGCTTCAAGCATTTCTTCTGCTTAGGTCTCCTAAAGTGCTGGGATCACAGCCACAAGCCATTTCCCAGGGCTTACTGATCCCATTTTAATAAGTGGTTATTTCTTTTTATTTTTTATTTTCGTTTTTAAAATTTATTTTGTTTTATTTTATTTTACTTTTTTGAGACAGAGTTTCACTCTTGTTGCCCAGGCTGGAGTGCAATGGCGCAGTCTTGGCTCACTGCAACTTCTGCCTCCTGGGTTCAAACAATTCTCCTGCCTCAGCCTCCCACGTAGCTGGGACTACAGGCGTGCGCCACCACACCCAGCTAATTTTTGTATTTTTAGTAGAGACAGGGTTTCACCATGTTGACCAGGATGGTCTTGATCTCTTGACCTTGTGATCCACCTGTGTCAGCCTCCCAAAGTGCTGGGATTACAGGTGTGAGCCACCGTGCCTGGCCAATAGGTGGTTATTTATAGAATATTTTATTTTCTGAATGAGATTTCCTTCCTCCAAGTGGGTCTTGCCTTAAGGAAGCTCTGCATCTCCACTGGTGGAGTGGGAGGGCAGGTGGGCTTACAGCACCTCTGTATGATGAGAAAAGGCGCCCCTTATAGTCAGGAATATGGAAAAAAAGGACCCTCTACGGGCAGACCGATTGGGAAAGGCTGTCCTTAGGGTGAACCAATTAGGAAAAGGTGTCTCTTCCTCCTTCCAGGCTTGACTTCAGCCACCACTGTCCTCTCTTGCTGGTCCCTTTGTTCAGGGCACAGATTCCACAACTCCAAGCAGTAGCCCCAGCAGGAAGGAAGTTCCTGGGCCGACATGGAAACTAAGCTGGTCTCCCCTGGAAGGTGTCCCCTGCCCATTCAGCAAACATTCACTGGGCTTCATGCATCCTGTGTCTGTTGCATCTGGATAGCTGGTTTGTAAAGGAAAGAGAGGAGGAGGGCAGGGAAGACATAACTTGTGGCGTTTGCTCTGGAAAAGTCAAGAAACATTCCTATTGATCCCAGTCCATCCTATTTAAAGGGCAAAGGGAATGCTCATAATTGGTGTTCTAGCCTTCTGGTTGTGAAAGGCCAGGACTAGCACCCAGCTAGAAAAGGGTTCCAGAGATGTTTCAGGAGGTAAGGGGAGGAGGAAACGGGGTTGAAAAGGAAGGACTGGACATTAAGTGGTGTGCTTTCGAATTTGGACTTTGCCCCTCAGTAGCGAGGAGCCACTGGACATTCTTATAGAGGGACGTGTTCCAAGCTGTGTTTTAGGGTGTTCCGTCTGACAAGACAGGAGGGTCCAGGTCAGAGAAGACAAAGTTCTGAACAGGAGCAGGTGGAGATAACAAAGCAGATATTAACACTATTCTGTAGCTGGATGTGGTGGCTCACACCTGTAATCCCAGCACTTTGGGAGGCCAAGGCATGGGGGGCAGGGGGGTCACTTGAGCCTGGCAGGTTGAGGCTGCAGCGAGCTATGATAACACCACTGTACTCCAGCCTGGGTGACAAAGCAAGACCCTGTCTCTAAAAACAAAAAACAAAAAGAGGCCAAGCACAGTGGCTCACGTCTGTAATCCCAGGACTTTGGGAGGCCAACGCAGTGGATCACTTGAGGTCAGTAGTTTGAGACTAGCCCAGCCAACATAATGAAACCTCGTCTCTACTAAAAATACAAAATGTAGCCAGGCATTGTGGCATGCCCCTGTGGCCCCAGCTACCTGGGAGGCTGAGGCAGGAGAATCGCTTGAACCTGGGAGGCAGAGGCTGCAGTGAGCTGAGAACGCACCACTGCATTCCAGTCTGGATGACAGAGTCAGACTCTGTCTTCAAAAAAGAAAAGAGTATTTAGAAAGGAGGAAAGAGAGGGCTTGTAGCTGAGAAAAAGTTGGACTTCATGGTGGTGGGCTGGATTGTCCTAGCTAGGGTCAAGAGGTTCTGTCCTCCAGCCCTACCCTCCCTCCAGCCCCACTCACCGTGCTTATCCATTCTTCCCAAGGCTGTGCTGCCTGCTTTCCCTGATCAGGGACTGGGATGTGAGAGGGTGCCCAGAACCCATAGAACTTGGTCTGGTCTCTAAGACCTCTATTGGATCATAAGGGGTGGAACTAGAACCTCACCTGCCCATGAGGCTCTGCCCAGGAATAATTTCCTTTTCCAGAGCCTCCCAAGCACTAACAACTCAGGTGTCTCTTACCTTACCACTTAGGAAGGCATTAAAGGGGAGTAGAAGGTGGCTTCGGCCCCAATTAACTGGGTTTAAATTCCAGCTCCACCACTTAAATATAAAAGTTATCTGACTTTCAGCATGATATCTCTCTGACCCTCAGTCAGTGATAGTAGTACAGTACTGGGCTTTACCTGGCCTGCAGGAATCACTGAAAGCACTGGGTTTGTTTGTATTGTTTTATTTTCTCCTCCTCCCCGTGTTGTATCCTTATCCTTCTTCACCCCATGCTCCCTACTTATCCTATTTCCATTTCATTGCCTTAGAGCCAAGGAACACAAGGGAATGGTGCCAAGTCCAGTAGGAAGTAGGACTTGGGCACAAGGTGGATATGGCTCCTGTATATTGTGTATGTGTGGGGGGCTGGGCTGGGGGAGGGAGTAAAATCATGGAGCTTCAGGAACAGGAAAATTCTTTCCTATCCTGGATTTGAAGTGGAGTATATTGGCACAGAGAGAAATGTGCAGATGGGCAATGGGCAGATTCAGCTCTGGAAAGTCCTCGGTCTGTTGAGATGAAGTTGCTGACCTCAAAGAGATCCCAGTCTGATAGTCAAAAATGATATAATCCTCCATTCAAGTCTGAGAGTAGAGGGCAATAGGGTCCCTTCCTTTGGGCGTCTTAGTTTGGTGGAGGCAAGTTGCTGGGCTGGAGAAGAGAGAGTAGACCTGGCCCCGGGAATCTAGTCACAAGGGGGCAACGCTATCGAGAACTGTGAAGGATCTGAAATGTTACCCTCCCTGCAAGCTACCATGTGAACCAGCTGTAGTTTCATGGGTCCTTCCAGAAAACACGAGGCTCCGGGTCAGAGACAAAGGCCTTGATTACTGTGGCACATCAACTTTGGCCTATTTGCATCAGCTTCCCTTGCTTCAGCCTCCTGAGTGACACAGATGAGTGCCAATGGATACCTATATGTGCAGAGGTTTGCATTACTAAGAGAAATTCTGAGCTTAGGAAACCCGAATCTTTCATAATGGGTAGTAAGCAAACCTGCTGTTCGCTCGGGAAGGAAGCACTATGTCTATTTTCCAAGATTGTTCACTTATACAAAAACCCTTGAAAAGTCAGGGCCTCAGCTTGCAAGACATGCATAAACACAAAAGACCCAAGGAGAATTGTCTCCCAACAAGCTCATTCTCCTTAAATTTGCTGAAAGCATTTGTAGCCACTATGGCTCTTGATTGCAAAATTCAAAAGCTCACTCTGGTTAATTTAAAGAGAAAGAATAATGAGAGCTCACAGAATGACCAAAAGGCTTGAGAATTAAATAGGAATCAAGGAAGGCTGCTGACTAAGAACACAGCCAAGATCTAATCTCAGGAACAATTCAGTTTGGAGGCCACTGCTGGGGGTCACTCATGGACACTGGCATCATAAGCAGTCTCACTGAAACACTTGCTAAGATTTAATGCCCCTGGCAGGCACATCTAAACCCATGAGCCTGTGCTACGGTCTTTTTCTTTCTTTCTTTCTTTTTCTCTTCTCTTCTCTTCTCCTTTCTTTCTCTCTCTCTTTTTTTCTCTCTCTCTCTCTCTTTCTTTCCCTCTCTCTCTCTCTCTCTCTCTTTTCTTTCTCTCTCTCTCTCTCTCTCTCTCTCTCTCTCTCTCTCTCTCTTTCTTTCTTTCTTTCTTTCTTTCTTTCTTTCTTTCTTTCTTTCTTTCTTTCTTTCTTTCTTTCTTTCTTTCTTTCTTTCTTTCTTTCTTTCTTGTCAGACAGGGTCTTACTGTGTCTCCCAAGCTGGACTACATACAGAGATGCAATCATAGCTCACTGCAGCCTCAAACTCCTGGCCTCAAGTGATCTTTCTACCTCAGCCACCCGAGTACAGTGGGCTTTTTAAAAAAAAAAAACAAAAACAAAAAACTGAATCTTGCTCTGTCACCCACACTGGAGAATGCAGTGGCCCAATCTCAGCTCACTGCAACCTCCGCCTCCCGGGTTCAAGTGATTCTTCTGCCTCAACCTCCCAAGTAGCTGGGACTACAGGCACCTGCCGCCATGCCCAGGTAATTTTTGTATTTTTAGTAGAGACGGGGTTTCACCATATTGGCCAGGCTGGTCTCAAACTCCTGACCTCGTGATCTGCCCGCCTTGGCCTCCCAAAGTGCTGGGATTACAGGCTTGAGCCAATGCACCCAAGCTGTCCCCAGCCTTCTGTGTCCCATGAGGAAAGTGAGTGGTGGCTGGGTCCCAGCTCGGCACACTGGGTCATGGCCCCCATTGGCTCAAGAAAGGAGAAGGGTTTGGGCATTAAGATTTCAGAAGTCAGAACTGGGCCCAGGGGCTCGCACCTATAATACCAGCACTTTGGGAGGCCAAGACAGGAGGATCACTTGAGCTCAGGGGTTCAAGACCAACCTGGGCAACATAGTGAGACTCCCATCTCTACTTAAAGCCTGGTGGGGTGGTGTGCTCCTGTGTCCCAGCTGCTGGGAGCAAGCTGTGATGGTGCCACTGCACTCCTGCCTCAGTGACAGTGAGACCCTGTCTCAATAAAAGGCTCAGGAAACCCTATCAGGACTGCATGGCATTCCTCACTGACAGCCATGTCAGGTGAGGCTGCTGGGAAGGGTACAGAAGAGGGGGCTTCAGGTGGCTCAGTAGGTTGACTGAGGTGGTGCAGCTCCAGGTTCTCAAGTCCTAGGGCTTTGAGTCTTGGCCTGGGGCAGTAGGGAGCTATGGAAAGTTGTGGAGGAGGAGTAGGCAGCTGGAAACATCAGCATGCCCCAGCAGGTCCCCTCTGGCTCCAGGGGGCAGAGAAGAGAGTGTGGTGCTGTGGGCATGTGCCCATGGGCAGTCAGCAGAGGTAGAGGTCCTGTTCTGGGATGGCAGGCAGCCCTTCCAGCCCCTGGGACGCCTGACCTTGCAGGCTGCCAACCACAGCCTCCTGCTGACTGCGTACGGCTGCCAGGGGTGCCTGCTGGGCCATGTGGAGGTGAGAGGGCCTGGACTGGGACACAGGGAAGGGGTTACCGTTCTCTCTCTGGGCAGAGGCCACAGTGCCAGGAACGCCGAGCCCTTTGGGTCCATCTGTGCCCAGAAACCAGAGCACACAGCCCCAGGGTGCTGCTGGCACCGAGACCTTTTGTCTATTTCATTCCTATGCAGCCCCTGAAGGAGGTGTGGTGGGAGCGGGCAGAGGAGGCCATGTGGCGGCTGCAGATCTGGGTGCCCGGGATGCCAGGCAACGGGGATCCCAGGCCCATCAGGGTGGCCCTGGGGGCCATGAAAGGCGCCCTGGAGCTGGTGAGTGAGAGCAAGGATGGTGAGTGGCTGGCAGTTGAGGACAACCGAGACAGCTCTCACTGTCCCCTCCCTCTCCAGGTGGCCCACCAGATGCTGTCCTGGGCTGAGACCACGTTCTCACGGGCACAGAAGAGGCTCTGCAAACCCCTGCTGGACCTGTATGGCCTCGCAGCCAGGTAGCGCTGGGTTGGGAGTGTCGCATCCAGCGTTCCTGCCACGTATCAGGTGCAATGCTGAATGCTTTGACACGCTCTGACTCACTGACTCCTCTGACCACCCGCACAGAGGCTTCTTCACTCCTCATTTCACAGAAGAGGAAGCTGGGGTTTCTTTCTCACTCCATAGAGACTTCATGAGCACAGTCCCAGTGCAGGCAGAATTTTAGGAGCTGCTGCGGAGTAGCACAGTGGACAAGGCTGACCCCTGCCTTCAGGAAGCTCAGTTTTACTCAGAGACAGACACGAAGCCCAAGAAATCATCTACAGCAGGGTGTGCACAGCTCCCTGCAGAGAGCCTGAGAGTCACCTCTTAGGCCATTCTGCTCTGTCACATTTTCTTTTTTTCTAAAAGGCAAATTTGGGTCAAAATGGTCCTTGACTAAGACCTGTTGGTGACTGTGTATTGCCTTTAAGATAGAGTCCAAGCTAATTTGGCCATGGGGCCTGGTGAGAGCTGGCCTGGGCTCACCTTCCCAGTTTTATCCTGCACCACCCTCCAGCCACATGGAATGTCAGTTTCCTTGCAGGACTTTCTTCGTCCTTCTTCAGGAAACACTCCCCTACCCTCATCATCACTCTTTCACTCTCATCTTGTTCATCTTTAGCCTCAGCTGAGACGTCTCACCTCACTCTCTGTGATGCGCAAGAACCCCCTTGGGAGCATTTCTGCCCCACTCTGTACTTCTGTCATTGTGCTCGTCACAGTCTGGAAAGTGCTGGTGTACAATTCCTATATTAGTCCATTTTGCATTGCTATAAGAAAACACATGAGGCTGGGTAGCTTATAAAGAAAAAAGGTTGTCCAGGCATGCTGGCTTACATCTGTAATCCCAGAATTTTGCAAGGGCAAGGCAGGCAGATCATGAGGTCAAGAGATTGAGACCATCCTGGACAACATGGTAAAACCCTGTCTCTACTAAAAATACAAAAATTACCTGGGCTTGATGGTGCACACCTGTAATCCCAGCTACTTGGGAGGCTGAGGCGGGAGAATTGCTTGAACCCAGCAGGCAGAGGTTGCAATGAGCATACATTGCACCACTGCACTCCAGCCTCGGTGATAGAGTGAGACTCTGTCTCAAAAATAATAATAATAATAATAAACTGAGCTGGGTATGGTGGTATATGCCTGTAATCTCAAATACTTGGGAGGCTGAGGTGGGAAGATCACTCGAGCCCAAACGATGGAAGCTGCAATGAGTCATAATCACTCCAGTGTACTTTAAACCCCATGTGACAGAAGTGGACTCTGTCTCAAAAAAAGGAGAACAAATGAAAAAACATATTTGTTGAGTTTAAAAAAAAGGGGTAAAAAAATACTAAACAAGCAAAGGTGCCAGGAGAGTACTGTAAATGTGGGTCATGTCAATAGAGTGTAGGGTCGTGGGCAGGAGTGTCTGGACTCGAAGAGCAGGTTGGTGGAGACCAGATCATTCATCCTATGCAGTTTGCCCTGTAGCATGTACATCAAATATCCCACATTGGCTGCTGGTGACTGAACTGGGCTTCCTGTTTCTGTGTTTGGTTTGCCCATCACAGTATTAAAAAACTTTTGAAGTGAATACCTTGAAGTTTGTTACAGTCCCCCCTCCCCCGTGTCCCACATTATTTCAGCCTCCTTTCCTCATGTAGATTTTTTGATCCACTGAGACCTGTGTTTGCTATGGGGGAAAGCGGGAGGGCAACAGAAAGTAAAAAACCTCCAGCCCCCAGTCTTCCCAGGTGATCCCCCATTTGACCCCAAGCTAGGCCTGACCCAGGTTAGCTTCCATGTTGGGGCACCCTTAGGCTGCTATGGCGTCTGAAACCTGCTGCATTAGACTTCCACGGGAGGCCCCTGTGGAAATTGGGGAGTAGGGGAGTGGGGAAAGGATGGCCAAAAGATAAGGAGGCAGTTGGAGAGCATTGCAACATATGGCAGAAAGCAGGAAAAGAGTAGGAAGCCAAAATACTACAGCCTCCAGTCTCCCCATGCAGTCCCCAATCCAAGTTTTAGACAGAACTGATTGTGCTTAGCTTCCAGGAAGGGGCGCATTCAGGCTGCTATGGCACTGAATGGACCACCACAGGGAGGTACTGGTCCATGGTGTGAGCGCAGCCATGGGGGAAAGGGAGAGCTAGGGAGTCAAGGTGGTTTGGAAGCATTGTGACAAGCGGGGGAAAGCAGGAAGGGAGCAGGAACCTAAAAGCCTCCAGGCCTCAGTCTCTCAAGGCTGTCCCCCATCCAAGCTTTGGCCAGGGCCACCCCTGCTTTGCTTCCGGGCTGGGGTGCCCTGAGGCTGCTATGGCACTGGGGGCTGCTGGCACGAACCCCACAGGGAGGTCACAGATTGCAGCATAAGCACAGGCTAGTAAAAAGGGGGGACCAGAGAGTGAGGAGGAGGTTGGGAAGTGCTGTGACAAGCAGAAGAACATGGGAAAAGAGAGGGAAGCCAAAAGTTTCCAGCCTTTTTTTCCTCCAGGTGGTCTTTCATCCAAGCCTCAGCCAGGCCCAAACCTGTTTAGGTTTAGGAATGGGTGGCCCTCAGTCTGCTGTGCCACCTGGGAGCTGCCACAAGAGATCTCCAAGGAAAGGTCGGGGCTGTGGAGTGGCAGAGGTGGGCAGGCAATGGGGGACCTGAGAGTCAAAGGCCAGTCAAAACCGTTGCCACAAGCAGAAGAAAGCAGGAAAGGATTGGGAAGCCAAAAGCCTATAGCCTCTGGTTTCCCCAAGTGGTCTCCCATCCCAGCCCCAGTCAGGCTTAATCCTGCTTAGCTTCCAGGTTGGGGCCACTCAGGCTGTGATGGTGCTTGGTTACTTCAGAGACAGACCCCTTCAGGGAGGTCCCAGGCCAAAACAAGGGCTCAGGCAGGCAAAAAATGGCTGGCCAGAGAGTCAAGGTGTTGTTGGGAAGCCTTACAACAATAGGGTGAATGTGGGAATGGAGCACGAAGCCAAAAGCCTCCAGCCCCCTGTTCCCCCAGAGGGTCCTCAATCCAAGCTCCAGCCAGGCCCAACCCTGCTTAGCTCGTGGACTGGGGCACCCTCAAGCTGCTACTGTTACAGGAAGGTCCCAGGCTAAGACAGGCTTGCAGGCTGACAGGAAAGAGGGGGTTTGAGTCAGGAGTCGGTTGGGAAGTGTTGCAACAAGCAAGGAAAAGCAAAAAAGGAGAGGGAAGGAAAAAACCTCCAGCCCCCAGTCTCCCCAGGCAGCTCTCCATCCAAGCACCAGCCAGGCTCCACCCTGCTTAGCTTCCATGCTGGGGCCCCCTTAGGGTGCTATGGCATCCAAGGCCTGCCAGGTGAACCCCCACAAGAACATCCCAGGCTGCCGTGGGAGTGCAGGCCAGTGGAAAGGGGGCCAGTGAGTCAAGGGGTCATTGTAAAGCGTTGGGAAAAGTGGGGAAAAGCAGAAGAAAGAGGTTGCCAAAAGCCTCCAGCTCCCAGTCTCCCCAGGTGGTCCCCTATCTAAGCCCCAGTCAGGCCTGAGCCTGCTTATCTTCTGGACTGGGGTGCCCTCAGGTTGCTATGGCGCCAGGGTGCTGCCAAGACAGATGTCCACGGGGAGGTCCCTGTCCATGGCGGGGATGCATGTGGGCTAGAAATGGGGGCCAGAAACTCAGGGGGTCTTGGAAAGCATTGACAAGTGGGGGAAAGCAGGAAGGGAGCAGGAAGCCAAAACCCTCTAGTCCCTGGCCTTCCCAAGTGGTCTTTCATTCAAGAAACTGCCAGGCTTGACCCTGCTTAGCTTTGGAGCAGGGGTGCCCTCAGGCTGCTATGGTGCCTGGGGGCTGCTGGGCAGACCCCTATAAAAAGGCCCCAAGCTGTGGTTGGGGTGCAGGTGGGCAAGAAAATGTGGGACAGAAAGTCAGTGGGCAGTTAGGAAGCATTGTGTCTAGCAGTGACAAGTGGGAAGGGAGCTGGAAGCCAAAAGCTTGCAGCCCCCAGTTTCCACAGGCGGTCTACCATCCAAGCCCCAACCAGGTCTGACCCTGCTTACTGTCCAGCCAGAGGTGCCCTCAGGCTGCTACAACACCCAAGGGATGCCAGGCAGACCCCAACAAGAAGGTCCTGGGCTGCTATTGGGGAACAAGTTGGCAGAAACCTGGGGCCAGAGAGTCAGGGAGGGAGGGGTCAGTTGGAAAGCATTGCAACAAGCAGTGGAAAGTGGAAAGGGAGCAAGAAAACAAAAGCCTCAAGCACCCTGTCTCCCCAAACGGACCTCATACAAGCCCCAGAAAGGCCCAACCCTGCTTACTTTCAAAACTGAGGCACCCTCAGGCTGCTACAGCCCCAAGGGCTGCCGGGCTGGCCCCACACAAGTAGTTCCAGGGCAGCCATAGGGACAAAAAAGGGAAAGCAAAAAAGGATCAGCTGGAGAGTTAGGGGCTGTTAGGAAGCATTGCTACAACTGGGGAAAAGCGTGAATGGAGTGGAAAGCCAGAAGCCTTCATCCCCTACTCTCCCTGCAAGGTCTCCCATCCAAGTCCCTGTCAGGCCTGATCCTGTTTAATTACCAGCTGGGACACTATCAGGCTGCTATGGCCACCGTTGGCTGCCAAAACGGATACCAAGTGGAGGCCCTGGATCCCAGCAAAGGAGCAGTCAAAGTGAAAACTCCGCTTTCCCCAAACCAAACACTGCATGTTCTCACTCATAGGTGGGTGTTGAACAATGAGAACGCATGGACTCAGGGAGAGGAGTATCACACACTGGGGGCAGCTGTGGGGCAGGGGTAGGGGAGGGACAGTGGGGGGTGGGGAGGGTGGAGAGGGATAACATGGGGAGAAATGCTGGATATAGTATACACCTAAAGTAAAATTTAAAAAAAGGGGGAGTAGGGGGAAACTAGAGAGTCAGGGGCGCCAGGGAAGCGATTCCAAAAGCCAGGAAAAAGGGTAAGGGAGGAGAGAGCTAAACACCTCCAGCCTCTGGATTTTCCAGGTGGTCCTCATTTTAGGCTTTATCCAAACCTGACATTGCTATGCTTCCTCAGGCTGCTATGATGACTTAGGGCTGCTGGATCAGACCCCCAGCAGGAGGTCCAGGGCTGCAGCTGCCCGGTCAGACCCCCAGCAGAAGGTCCAGGGTGGCAGGCATGCAGGACAAAGGGGTTCCAAAGAGTCAGGGGGTAATTGAAAGCATTGTGACAAGTGAGAGAAATCAGGAAAGGAGCCAAAAGCCTACAGCCGAGGAACTCCCCAGAGTCCCCTATCCAAGCTCCCATCAAGGCCCACCCTGCTTATCTTCCAAACTGGGACACCCTCAGGCTGCTATGGTGCCAAAGGTCTGCCAAGAAGGACCTTCACAGGGAGGTTCCAGGCTGCGGCAGGAGTGCAAGCGAGCAAGAAACAGGAGACAGAGTCAGGGTGTGGTTGAAAAGTGTTGAGACAGCAGGGGAAAGCAGGAAGAAAGTGGTAAGCCAAAAGCCTCCAGTCCCCTGTATCCCTAGGCAGGCCTCTTTTCAAGTTCCAGCCAGGCTCAGCCCTGCTTTGCTTCCAGGCTGCAGTGGCAGGGCTCCTATGGCGCCTGAGGGCTGCTGAGGCAAACCCACAGAGGGAGACCTGGGCCGTGGAGGGGACATAGGTAAGCAGGAAAGAGGCGGCAGACAGTCAGGGGGTGGTTGGGAAGAGTTGGGACAAGCAGGAGAAAGCTTGAAGAAGGCAAAAACGCAAAAGCCTCCAGCCACTGGTCCTTCCAGGCAGTCTCCCATCTAAGCCTCAGCTAGGCCTGACCCTGCTTAGCTTTACTGGGCTGTATCACCCTAGGGCTGCATCACCCTAGGGCTGCATCACCCTAGGGCTGCTATAGCTCTCAGGGACTGCCAAAACAATCCCACATGGGGAGGTCCCGGCCCTCGGCAGCGGGAGTGTAAATAAGAGGGACAGTGGTGACAGAGTCAGGGGGCATGTGGGAAGGGTTAGGACAAGCAAGGGAACTCTTGACGAAGGCAAAAAGGCAAAAGCCTCCAGCCCTCGATTTATCCAGGCAATCCCCCATCCTGGGCTGGAGCACCCTCAGGCTGTTATGGCACCCAGAAGCTGTGAGGACAGATCCACACAAAGAGGTCCCTGGTAGTGATGGGAACAATAAAGGGGGAGGGAAAAAGCGGGAGCCAGAGAGTCGGGGGTGGGGGGGGTGCTGTTGAGAAGCATAGCTACAAGCGGGGGCGGGGTGGAGGGGCACAGGAAGGGAGGGGAAAGCAAAAAGCCTCAAGTCCCCAGTCTCCCCAGGCGATCTCTCATCCAAGCTCCATCCAGACCTAATTCTGTTTAATTTCTGCCGGGGGCGCTATCAGGCTGCTGTGGCCACCATTGCCTTCTGAAGTGGACTTCCAAGTAGAGACCCCGGATTGTGATATAGGAGCAGTTAGATGAGAAAAGGAAACTCAGAGAGTCAGGGGCGCCAGGGAAGCGCTTCAAAAAGCGAGGGAAAAGTGTAAGGAAGCGGGAAGCCAAAATCCTCCAGTCCCCTGTATCCCTACGCAGGCCCCTTTTCAAGCCTCAGCCAGGCCCGACCTGGCTTAGCTTCTGGGTGTGGTACCCTAGAGCTGCTCTGGTGCCTGAGGGCTACCGAGACAAACCCACATTGGGAAGTCCTGGGCTGTGGCAGGGGCACAGAAAAGTGCGAAAGAGAGGATAGAGAGAGTCGGGTGATTGGGAAGTGTTGGGACAAGTGGGGGAAAGCTGGAAGGAAGCGAAAAGACAGAAGCATCCAGGCTCCAGACATTCCAGGCAGTCTGTCTTCCAAGCCCAACCAGGCTTGACTCTGCTTAGCCTCTGGGCTCCCGCCTGCCGGGGTTCTCGCTGCTGCCCAGGATCTTTTTGTGGGAGTTTCTCCTGGAAGGTTCCGTGGGCCATAGCTGTCTGAGAGCGCCTCGACCGGCCGGAAGCTACAGTGTCGGGCTTGACTGAGCCTTGGATGGGGGACTGCCTGGGGAGACTGGGCCTAAAGGCTTTTGGCTTCCAGCTGTTTTCCTATTTTCCGCCACTTGTCGCAACACTTCTTAACATCCGCCCCTCTCTGGACCCCATTTCCCGCTAACCTGCACCTCCAACATGGAGGAGGACCTCCCTGTGTGGGTCCGTTTCATCTGACCCCAGTCAGCATAGCAGCCTGAGGGCACCCCAGCACTGAAGTTGAGAAGGCGAGAGCATGGCTGGGGCTTAGATAAGGGACCGCCTGGGGAATGCGGTGGCTGGAGGCTTTTAGCCTCCTGCTCACTTCCCACCTTCCCAGGCTTTTGGCAACTCTTCCCAGCTGCCCTCTGACTCTCTTACACCCCCTTTCCTGCTCGCCTGTGCCCCCGCCTCGGCCTAGGACTTCCCTCTGTGAGTCCGTTCTGGCAGCCCCCAGTCACCATAGCAGCCTGAGGGCTTCCCAGCCTGAAAGCTAAGCAGGGTTGGGCCTGGCTGTGCTTGGATGGAGAACTTGGTGGAAAGACCAGGCCTGGAGGCTTTTGGCTTCCTTTTCTTTTCCTGCTTTCCCCGTTGTCACACAGTTCTCACCACCCCCTGACTCTCAGACTGCTATGGTGTTCGTGGGCTGCCTACACGGAGCCCCAAGGGGAGGTCCAGAACCGTGGTGGGCCGAATCCAGGCAGGGAACAGAAGGCCAGAATGTAAGGGGGCTGTTGGTAAGAATTTCGGCAGCGGGGAAAGTGGAAAAAGAGCCGGAAGCCGAAAGCCTCCAGCCCCCGTTCTCTCCAGGAGGTCCTTTGTGCAAGGTGCAGCAAGGCCTGACCCTGCTAAGCTTCTGTACTGGGAAGCCCTCAGGCTGTTATGGTGCCCCGTACCTGTTGAAAATGACCCCACGGGGAGGTCCCGAGCTGCAGCATGGTTGCACTGGGATGAGAAAGAAGGGACCAGAGAGTCAGGGGTCTATTGGGAAGCTTTATGACAAGCAGAACTTGGAAAAGAGTAGGAAGCCGACATCTTCCAGGCCCTTATCTCCTCAGGCTTTTTGCCATCCAACCCCAGCCAGTCCCAACCCTGCTTAGGTGAGCGGGGGTGCCCTCAAGAAGCAATGGCATTTGGTGGCTTCAGAGATAGACCCCTTCAGTGAAGTCTCAGGCCACAGCGAAAACACAGGCGGGCAGAAAAGGGATAGCCAGTGAGTCAGGGGGCGGTTGGGAGGCATTGCCACAATCGGGGGAAAGTGGGAAGAGAGCAAGAAGCCAAAAACTTTCAGCCCCCTGTTCTTCCAGGCAGTCCCTCATCTAAGCCTTAGCCAGGCCTGACCCTGCTTAGCTCCCGGGCTGGGGCGCCTTCAGGCAACTATGGCACCCGGGGTCTACCAGGACGAACCGTTATGGGAAAGCCCAGGGCCACAGACGGGTCACAGACCTGCAGGAAAGGGGTCCAGAGAGTTGAGGTCATTGTAAAGTGTTGCAACAAGTGGGGAAAGCAGGGAGATCGGGAAGCCAAAAGCCTCCAGCCCTTGATGTCTTACATTGGTCCCCCATGCAAGCCCCATGAAAACCTCACCCTGCTTAGCTTTCAGGCTGGGGCACCCTCAGGCTGCTATGATGCTTGGGGGTAGCATCTGTTGCTGGAACACAACCCCCTGGGTAGGTTCTAAGCCATGGTGGGGCACTGTCAGGTGACAGATGTAGGGCCAGAGAGTAAGAAGTTTGGTAGCATTGTGTCAAGCAGGGAAAGGCGGGAAGGGAGACAGAAGCCAAAAGCCTCCAGAACCAGTCTCCCCACGGGGTCTCCCATACAAGCCCCAGCCAGTCCTGACCCAGCTCAGCTTCCTAACTGGGGTACCCCTAGGCTGCTATGTCACCCGAAAGCTACCAGGGAGGACTTACACAGAGAGGTCCCGGGTTGTAGTGGGAGCCCAGGCTTAAGGGAAATGAAGAGCCAGAGGCTCAGGACACAGTTGGGAAGGAAGAATTCCAATGGAAATATCCCCAGAAGCAGCAAGGTGCAGGTGGGTGGGAAAAGGTATTCACAGAGTCAGGTGGTGGATGGAAAGTTTTGAGATGACGGGGGAAAGTGGGAAGGGAGCAGGAAGTCAAAAGCCTCCAGGCCCTGGTCTTCCCATGTGGTCCCCTGTTCAATACCCAGCCAGGCCCGCCTCTGATTAGCTTCCAGGCTTGGGTGCCTTCAGGCTGCTATAAGGAGGAAGGGCTGCCAGGATGGACCACCATGAAGAAATTCTAGGACCCGATGAGAGCAGGTGGGCATCAAAATGGGGGCTAGAGTTACAGGGAGTGGTTGGGAATTTTTGCGTCAAGCGGTCGAGTGGTAAGAAAGCAGGAAGCCAAAAGCTTTCAGCCCCTGGTCTTTTTTTTTTTTTTTTTAAGACAAAAAATAAGGCCTTTATTATTCCCTAGTGACAGGTATCCAAGGTGGAAGAAATCCGGGTATATGCATGGTTATCTGGGCTGTGAGTTTCATTCTCTAGGCTGTACCATAAACCATATCTCCATAGCCAATGCAGACTTTGTAAACTGATCCGTTTCGATAATTCAAAGTGGTAGTATACAGCTACTGCCCTTGAAAATTGGGGTTAAGGAGAGATACCTCAATTCCCAGAGAAGCCCAGAGATGAGATAACACTGACATGGTGAAATGGTTCATCCGAGATTAAGCATATGTAATACTGAAAAGAAGACAGATTACTAAATAAGAGAGGGACTAAATCTCAGAACTAATTTGCTGCCCTCACAGGCATTCATCATTCACTCAATGGAAGAGTAATCAACTACACACAAAAATATCGGTTCAATATTTTGCATTTTTCTAGTTTAAAAACAATATTTAACACTTAAGAACAAGGGAAACTGAGCTTATAAAAGCATCCAAAACAACACTGTGGTTACTGAAATGGCAGCACAAGCTTTTGTTGCCTTTTTAAAACATTAGTGTGAGGAACTCACCAAGAAACAGTGAAGCAGTTCTATTATACCTGTAATATTTCTCATTCACTCTTACCTAGGGTTAAGCTTTAATTAGACTCACCTACTTAATCCTACCTTCCTGTCTAAGAACCATTCAAGTTTGAGTCAGGAACTGGTTGTGTAGGCTTCCGGAAGTTTTGATAGGCTAGTGTCACTTAGTAAGATTCTGTGATTTAAAGAATCACTCTGAAAACTTACAGGAAAAAAAAAAAGCCATATGAAAATCAAACTAGGCAAATCTGGTTTATGCAGTCTATTAGCAAACCTACCTGAAACGAAATTGTGGAATCAACTGTACAACTCAAATGGACTTCTACTTTTGCTTACCTATTCCATCTCATTCAATTCTCTACAAAAATGTGATATATGCAGAAAATGTACACTATTTTGGATCATTTCTCCAAAGGCCAGAAAATCAGCCTGTTAGCTGCAGTTGCTATGAATGTGAAACACAAAAAAAAAATGGACTACATTTGGGGTTTCTTACTGAGGGTAGGTGGGGCAAACTACAGATGACTTTAGTTGACTAGCTGAATAGTTTCACTACCCAATCATGAAATAACCTTTATAAATGTTCCCTTTTTAGGACCCTTCAAAGACTGTTGTTCCAATCAGTGAGTAAAGTTTTTTCTTAACAAGTCGAAATCCTGAGCTGAGGATCAGAGTTCTCCTGAAACCAGAGGAGAAGCAACCTCTACTAAAGAAATCCCTGAATCTAGTCCATGAGCAGTTAGTTCTCCTGCTTAAACACAAGTGTAAGCTCAAAAGTAGGCACCACACTAGAATCACACACAATCCTATCCAGCTTTTTACATACATATTCAATTTCCAAGTTCACGTGCATAACACAACCTTGCAAGCCACAGGGCTCCGTGGAGGAAAGCCGTAGGGCATCTTGAGCAATTCTCTGGGTCAGTTTCTCTGGGACAAGGACATTTGAGCAACCAAGTTTGGTTTGCTTTGATTCGGACAGACAGTTCTCCAGCATTTTAACCAAATTCTGGCAAGTCGATTCCTCAAATATTACCTCGTTGAGGTTGGGTTCAGGAACAACATAATCCCAGTAGTCAAAATCACTTAGCAGGCTCTCTGGGTGATAGGCACGGTCCAGCAATTCTGAAATGTTGGCCGGGTTCTTACTGCTCAAACTGCCAGTTGCAACCATGGTCAACCGCTCTGTTTCCCGCGCGGGGCGCAACGGCCTTTCCTGAGCGCTGCCGGGAGTTCGCGGGGGCCGACGCGCTCGCTGCCCCGTAAACACAGGCAGGTGCCGCCTCAGCAGTCCCCTCTCCCGGGGGCTCGGTGACCTGCAGACCCCAGCAGCCAGCGGCACCCTGCTCACCCTGCGCCCACCCCGAGCCGGCTCCTCGCAGCAGCATAGCCTCCGGGCAGCCCCTGGTCTTTCCAGGTGCTTTCCCATTCAGTTTCCACCCATCCCTGACCCTGCTCCCGGGCTGGGGTGCCCTCTGGATGCTGTGGTGCCTGGTGACTGCGAGGACAGACCTACACGGGGAAGTCCCAGGCGTGGCGGGTACACAGGCGGGCGGCCAATGGGAAGTTAGAGAATCAGGGGGCAGTTGGGAAGCGTTCTGATAAGCGGGGGAAAAGCAGAAGGACAGCAGGAAGTAACATAACCTTGACCCCCGGTCTTCCCAGGCAATCCCCGATTCAACCCCAAGCCAGGTCCCACTCGGCTTAGCTTCTGCGCTGGAGCACCCCTTAGCCTGCTATGGCACCTGAAAGCTGCTGCATTCTACTTTCATGGGGAGGTTTTGAGCCGAGTAGGGGGAGCAGGGGAACGGGAAAGGGAGGGCCAGAAAATAAAAAAGGGGATGGGAAGCATTGCAACATGCGGTGGAAAGCGGGAAAAGGGTGGGAAGCCAAAATATTACAGCCCCATGGCGGTCCCCAATCCAAAAATTAGACAGAACCGACTCTGCTTAGCTTCAGGGCTGGGGCTCTTTCAGGCTACTATGGTGCTGGGAGGCTGCTGGGATGGATTGCCACGGGGAGGTACTGGACCATAGTGTGGGTGCAGATGGGCAGGAAAGGAGGGCCAGAGAATCCGGGGGTAGTTTGGAAGCATTTCAACAACAGGGAACACAGGAAGGGAGCAGTAACTAAAAAGCTTCCAACCCTTGGTCTCCGCAGGTGGTACCCCATCCAAGCTTCGGCCAGGCCAGACCTTGCTGAGCTTCTGGGCTACGGCGCCTGTGGGCTGCTGGGATGAATTCCCACGGGGAAATCACAGATTGCGGTGACCAGAGAGGTAGGAGGCAGTTGGGAAGTGTTGTGACAAGCAGATAAAAGCTATCAGCCCCCGGTTCCTCCAGGGGGTCTCCCATCCAAATCCCAACCAGCTCTGAACTTGCTTAGCTTCAGTGGTGGGTGGTCCTCAGACTGCTATGGCACCCAGGAGCTATCACCTCTGATCCTCACAGAAAGATCCCAGGTCATGCAGTGGCGCAGGTGGGAGGGAAATGGAAGGCCTGAGAGTCTAAGTCCTGTTGAAAGCATTGTGACAAGCAGAAGAAAGCAGGAAAGGATTGGGAAGCCAAAAGTCTCCAGCCCCTGGTGGTCTCCCATCCAAGTCCCAGCCAGAGGGCTGCCCAGGCAGACATGCACAGGGAAGTCCCAGTTCTTTGGGGAGGAGGCACAGGCAGGTGGGAATGTGGGGGCCAGAGTCAGAGGGCAGTGGGAAGCATTTTGACAAGTGGAAGAAAGCCAACAGAAAGCAGGAAGCCAAAAGCCTCTAGTACCTGGTCTTCTCAGGCTGTCACCATCCAATTCTCAGCCAGGCCTCTTCCTGCTTAGTTTCTGAGCTGGGGCACCGTCAGGCTGCTATGGCACCCTGGGGTTGCCTGAACTGACCCCACACTGGAAGGTTTCCAGCCATGACGGGGGCGCAGGCGATTGGGAAATAGCCAGTGAGTCAGGTGTCAGTTAGAAAGCCTTGTAAGAAGTGGGAAAGCAAGAAGGTACCAGGCTGTAGTTGAGGCACAAGCCAGAGGAAAAGGGGAGCCAGAGAATCAGGGGGTTTTGGATAGGGTTGCAACAAGCGGCGGAAAGTGGAAAGGGAGCAGGAAGCCAAAAGCCTCCAGTTGCTGTCTTTCCAGGTGGACCCCATACAAACCCCAGACAGGCCGACCCTGCTTAGCTTCTGAACCAGGGCACCCTTAGGCTGCTATGGCACCCAGAGGCCCTGGACCGCAGCAAAGGAGCAGCCAGATGAGAAAGGGAAAACCAGAGTCAGGGGCCCCAGTGAAGCATTTTGAAAAACAAGGGAAAACAGTAAGAGAGCAGGAAGCCAAACACCTGGAGCCACCAGACTTTCCAGGCGGTCCTCAAGGCAAGCTTTACCCAAACCTGACACTGCTTTGCTTCCAGGCTGGGGTGCCCTCAGACTGCTATGGCTACTGGGTGCTGCTGGGACAGACCCCCACCAGGAGGTCCAGGGCTATGGCGGGGACACATGCATGCGGGAAAGGGGGAGGCAGAGAGTCAGGGTGTGGTTGGAAAGTGTTACTACAAGTGGGGGAAAGTGGGAAGGGAGAGAAAAGCCAAAAGCCTCCAGCCCAGGGACTTTCCAGGAGTTCCCCTATCCAAGCCCCAGCCAGGTCCTACCCTGCTTAGCTTCTGGACAGAGGCACCCTCAGGCTGCTATGAAAGCAAAGGTCTGCCAAGACAGACCCCCACAGGGATATCCCAGGTGGAGGCAGGAGCACTGGCGGTTGGGAAAGTGAGGAGAGAGTCAGGGTGTTGTTGAAAAGTGTTGTAACAGCAAGAGAAAGCAAAAAGAGAGCAGGAAGCTGAAAGTCTCCAGTCCCCTGTATCCCCAGTCTGGCCCCTTTTCAAGCCCTAGCCAGGCTCGACTCTGCTTACCTTCCAGGCTGTGGCGCCTAAAGCCTACTGTGGCACACAGGGGCTGCTGAGGCAAACCCACTCAGGGAAGTCTCTGCTGCAGCGGAGGCATAGGCAATGGGAAAGATGGGACAGAGAGTCAGGGGGCTGTTGGGAAGCATTGGGACAAGCGGGGGAACGCTTGAAAAAGCTTGAAAAAGCCAAAAAAGCAAAAGCCTTCAGCCCCCGGTCTTACCAGGCAGTCTCCAATCCAAGCCCCAGCCAGGCCCAACCCTGTTTACCTTCTGGGCTGTGTTGCTCCAGACCTGCTATGGAGCCTGGGGTCTGCCAAGATAAACCCATACAAGGAGGTCCCAGGCCTTGGCAGGGGAGTAGCCAAGAGGGAAAGGGGATATAGAGAGTCAGGAGGCAGTTGGGAAGCTTTGGAACAAGCCGGGGAAAGCTTGAAGAAGGTGAAAAGGTAAAAGCCTCCAGCCCACCATCTATCCAAGGGGTCTCCCATCTAAGACCCCACCAGGCCCAACCCTGCTTAGCTTCCAGGACCCCACCCACCAGCATTGTGGCAGCAGCTGGGAACTTCTCCCTGGGGTTTGATTTGTAAGGACCTGTGGGCCATAGCAAGCTGAGGGCGCCATGACCAGAAAGCTAAGCAGCTTCGAGCTTGACTGAGGCTTGGACGGGGGACCTCCTGGGGAGACCGGACCTGGAGGCTTTTGGGTTTCTAGCTTTCTGTTTTTTCACCCCGCTTCCTCTGTCCCCCTCCTCCGCTTCCCCACCTTGTCACAACTATTCTCTACCGCCCCGTGATGGCTGGCTGGAGTGAGCCGTCCCCTGGTGCCACCCCTTCTCATGGTGTCATCAACCCTCGCCACCCTCTCTTGCGTGATGTCAAACTTCATGCCATCTCAAATGATGTCATTCTCCCTGGCAGCCACTTGTAATGACATCATAATCCCTCCCCACCCTCTGGGACCACGCCCCGTGGAATATGCAAATGAGCATGAAAAAATACCACCAGAGCCCCCTCCTCTTTGCCCTGATCCTAAATCCCACCCTCATTTGCAAATATGTGAATGAGCATGCATGCATGCAAATTAGCATGCAAATTATCAAACAAAAGCACACCCTCTCCTGAACCTCAACCCTAACCTGAGATTGGAACCCATGACCTGCCTATTCCTACACTTACACCCTATCCACTGAGCTAGCTGGCTGCCTCGCCACCTGACTTGGCCAGTTTTTGGATTGTACGCCAGCCTCTTTCTGCAGGATGTAATCTCAGTGACTTTGAGTTCAATCGGTCCTATAAATTGCTATCCCTATTTATGCAGTGTGTTTTCCCCTACATGAGGCATTTGTGAGCTCCATTAGCACTGATAGGATTTTTTTTTTTTTTGAGACGGAGTTTCCCTCTTGTTACCCAGGCTGGAGTGCAATGGCACGATCTCGGCTCACCGAAACCTCCGCCTCCTGGGTTCAGGCAATTCTCCTGCCTCAGCCCCCGGAGTAGCTGGGATTACAGGCACATGCCACCATGCCCAGATAATTTTTTATATTTTTAGTAGAGACGGGGTTTCACCATATTGACCAGGATGGTCTCGATCTCTTGAACTCGTGATCCACCCGCCTCAGCCTCCCAAAGTGCTGGGATTACAGGCTTGAGCCACCGCGCCCGGCCAGCACTGATAGAATTTTTAAATGTAGAAGCAGCGGCGAAGGGAGCAACATTTTGCAGCTATAGGGCACTGGCCTTCTTTGAGATAAAATCCCACTCTGGCACCAATGGCATGGGAACTATTCTGTGTCTTTTTACCTGAGAGCTCTTCAATTAACTGATGATGACACCTGCACAACTGCTAAGAGATCCGCTAAGGGGGAGCCTGGCCCAGCCATCCCTTCTTTGTGGTCACAGCATGAACAGCTCTGAGACTTCCCCTTTCCTCAGTGTCCCCTTACAGCGCTTTCTGACCACCGGGGTCTTTGTCCCACCACCCAACTGTGCAGCTCATCTGGCCATGCACCTCTCCAGCTCAAAACTGTTTTCTCCCTGTTGTTTGTATGAAACCGGGTTCCAGCCCTAAAGCACCATCTGCACAGCCTCTGCCACAGCTCTGGTGAGCCTTGTGGCCAGCTCCTGGTGACAGCCTGTGCCCCTCTACTCTGAGAAGGTCTCCTTCTCCTCTCTGTCTGCCATGTACAGAGACGACTTTCAGGACCACCCCAAAGGAGAGTGGCCTCTCTCCTCAACCCCAGGAGGATGGCCTCTCATGTGCCTCTCACTCATCTGACTCCTATGGCAGACCTGAGGGTAGGTGGCACTCACAGGCTCACATCTGTCAGCCTGTACCAGGTTGGGGACATCTCCCTCTCATTTGTCCTTGCATGCTGTGTGACTTTGGCAAGTGCTTGACTCTTTGAGACCCTCAGATTTCACACCTAAGAAATAGAAAGGCAGTGCCTGCCCTGCAGAAGAGTTGAGGTAGCATGTGAGAAAATGCCTTATGAACCACAACGTGAGCAGCACGCGGCATGCTGTGAACACCACTATCATGAGTTCTTCGTGGGCAGGGTTAACCGCCAAGCGTTCTTACACCTCCCATGGGGCTTATCATGACCATATGCAAATGAAGGTCATCAAGCATGTTTGATAATTGATGTGTTTTATTTTTAGTTTTAGGGTATAACAACTCTACTTTTAGCAGTCCTAGAGGCCAAAAGTTTGTTAGCACTCAGCAGCTGTACTCTTCGAGAGTAGGTTTTGTGCTTTAAAAAAGTCTGCATCCTCTACCATTTACAGGTATTGTGTACATATTTGATGTATGAGTTGCTCAGGAAGGAGGAAAAATGTGCCCTTTTTATCTTATAAAAAGATGGCTTAGTACTCCCTTGCCTGCATTCCTTCTTTGTATTTAGAAATAAGCCCGCAGAAATGAAGGTAAAGGAAGCCTCTTGAAAGATAAGGCAGGAAAAGTGAGGACGGAGAGCAAACTGCCTTTAGAGAGTTTACGTGGAGACTACCATAGGCATTGCTGCTCTGCAGCCTGTCACCCAGAGGCCCCTAATGCTGCACCATGGCCTGGGCAGCTCCACCAACAGGAATGTGCCTCACAGTGTCCTGGAGGGTGGCAGTGCCAGAGCAAGTTGTGGCAGCCCTGGTCCTCCTGAGGACTCTCCCTGGCTTGCAGACATCTTTCTCGTGCCCTCACATGGTCCTCCCTCTGCACTCACATCCCTGACATCCTCCCAGGCCCTCACATTGTCCTCCCTCTGCACTTCCATCCCTGACATCCTCCAGAGCCCTCACGTGGTTCTCCCTCTGCACTCACATCCCTAACGTCCTCCCAGGCCCTCATGTGGCCCCCCTCTGTACTCACATCCCTGACGTCCTTCTGAGCCCTCACGTGATCCCCCGTGCACTCACATCCCTGATGTCCTCCTGAGCCCTCACATTGTCCTCCCTCTGCACTCATATCCCTGACGTCCTCCCAGGCCCTCACACGGTCCCCACTCTGCACTCACATCCCTGACATCCTCCCAAGCCCTCGCATAGTCCTCCCTCTGCACTTTCATCCCTGACGTCCTCCCAGGCTCTCACATGGGCCTCCCTCTGCACTCATATCCCTGACGTCCTCCCGAGCCCTCACATGGGCCTCCCTCTGCACTCACATCCCTGAGATCCCCCCCAGGCCCTCACGTAGTCCTCCCTCTGCACTCACATCCCTGATGTCCTCCCAGGCCCTCACATGATCCTCCCTCTGCATTCACATCTGTGATGTCCACTCGAGCCCTCTCGTGGTCCCCCCAAGCCCTCTCGTGGTCCCCTCTCTGCACTCACATCCCTGACTTTCTCCCGAGCCCTCACATGGTCAACCGTCTGTACTCACATCCCTTATGTCCTCCCAGGCACTCATGTGGTCCCCCCTCTGCACTCACATCCCTGACGTCCTCCCGAGCCCTTACATGGTCTTCCCTCTGTACTCACATCCCTGAAGTCCTCCCAGGCCCTCACGTGGTCCCCCCTCTGTACTCACATCCCTGATGTCCTCCCAGGCCTTCACATGGTCCTCCCTCTGTACTCACATCCCTGATGTCCTCCCAGGCCCTCACATGGTCCCCCTTCTGCACTTTCATCCCTGACCTCCTCCCAGGCCCTCACGTGGTCCTCCCTCTGTACTCACATCCCTGACGTGGTCCTCCCTCTGCGCTCATATCCCTGATGTCCTCCCGAGCTCTCACGTGGTCTTCCCTCTGCACTCACATCCTTGACGTCCTCCAAGGCCCTCACATGGTCCTCTCTCTGCACTCACATCCCTGATGTCCTCCCTGGCCCTCACATGGTGCCTTCTGTACTCACATCCCTGGGGTCCTCCCGAGCTCTCATGTGGTCCTCCCTCTGTACTCACATCCTTGAGGTCCTCCCGAGCCCTCACACAGTCCCCCCTGTATTCCCTGACTGTATTCACTTTACTGACATCGTCCCAGGCCCTCATGTGGTCCCCGCTCTGTACTCACGTCCCTGATGTCCTCCCAGGCCCTCACATGGTCGCCCCTCTGCACTCACATCCCTGACATCTTCCCAGGCCATCACATCATCCCCTCTCTGTACTCACATCCCTGACGTCCTCCAGAGCTCTCATCTGGTCCCCTCTCTGCACTCACATGTCCTCCCGAGCCCTCACAGGGTCCTCCTTCTGTACTCACATCCCTGACGTCCTCCCAGGTCCTCACATGGTCCTCCTTCTGCACTCACATTCCTGATGTCCTCCCGAGCCCTCACGTGGTCCCTGCTCTGCAGTCACATCCCTGACGTCCTCCCAGGTCCTCACGTGGTCCCTGCTCTGCACTCACATCCCTGACATCCTCCCAGGTCCTCACGTGGTCCTCCCTCTGCACTCATATCCCTGACATCCTCTTGAGCCCTCACATGGTCCCCTCTCTCTACTCACATCCCTGATGTCCTCCCAGGCCCTCATGTGATCCCCACTCTGCACTCACATCCCTGACGTCCTCCCAGGCCCTCACATTATCCTCCCTCTGTGCTCACATTCCTGATGTCCTCCCGAGCCCTCACGTGGTCCCCGCTCTGCACTCACATCCCTGACACCCTCCCGAGCCCTCCCGTGGTACCCCCTCTGCACTCACATCCCTGACGTCCTCCCGAGTCCTTACATGGTCTCTTCTCTGTACTCACATCCCTGAAGTCCTCCCAGGCCCTCATGTGGTCCCCCCTCTGTACTCACATTTCTGACATCCTCCCGAGCTCTCACGTGGTTCCCCCTCTTTACTCACATCCCTGACATCCTCCCAGGCCCTCACATTATCCTCCCTCTGTGCTCATATTCCTGATGTCCTCCCAGGCCCCCACGTGGTCCCCGCTCTGCACTCACAACCCTGACGTCCACCCAGGCCCTCACATGGTCCCCCCTCTGCACTCACATCCCTGACATCCTCCCAAGCCCTCACATGGTCCTCCCTCTGCACTCACATCCCTGACATCCTCCCAGGTCCTCACATGGTCCTCCCTCTGCACTCAAATTCCTGACATCCTCCCAGGCCCTCACATTGTCTCCCCTCTGTACTCATATCCCTGACATTTTTCCAAACTCTCACGTGGTTCCCCCTCTGCACTCACATCCCTGATGTCCTCCCAAGCCCTCACATGGTTCTTTCTCTGTACTCACATCCCTGACGTCCTCCCGAGCTCTCACATTGTCCTCCATCTGTACTCCCATCCCTGATTTCTTCCCGAGCCCTCACATGATCCTCCCTCTACACTCACATCCCTGATTTCCTCCTGAGCCCTCACATGGTCCTCCCTCTGCACTCACATCCCTGATTTCCTCCTGAGCCCTCACATGGTCCTCCTTCTGCACTTTCATTCCTGATGTCCTCCCAAGCTCTCACATTGTCCTCCCTCTGTACTCACATCCCTGACGTCTTCCTGAGCCCTCACGTGGTCCTCCCTTTGCACTCACATTTCTGACATCCTCCCGAGCCCTCATGGGGTCCTCCCTCTGTACTCACATTCTTGATGTCCTCCTGAGCCCTCATGTGGTCCTCCATCTGAGCTCACATCCCTGACGTCCTCCCATGCCCTCACGTGGTCATCCCTCTGCACATAATTTCCTGACATCCCTTCACCTTCTCCTGGTGACACCAGTTTCATTGAATCAGGACCTTCCCTTCTGTCTCACCCAATCTTCATCAACTCTTTGAAGGCCCTGTCTCCAAAGACAGCCATATTGAGGGTCACAGCTTCAACGTAGGACTTTAGCAGGACACAGTTCAGCTGATCATACAGTCCAAATACCTCAGGGTTCTACAGATGAGTGTGGCGTTGTGGACCTCCATCTGTAGAGACACTTTTGAGAGAATTTGTGTGAACTGTGGTGTTCACATGTCGATATTCTGTTAAGTCCACAACAGGGAGTCTCCATTTCAGAAGGATAAGAGCTTTTCCGGTGTTGATGTGTGGCTGGCCATCTGCTCTGGGGGCGGCAAGGCTGCTCTGCATGAGTGCCCATCCTCTTGTGGATGTCCTAAGAGTGCTTGTGTGTACGTGTCTGTGTGTGTGTGTGTGTGTGTGTGTGCACGTGCACATGCACATGCATATGCACACATGAGTGGGATGGGGGCCCTGGGGGCAGAAGTCAGAAAATGAAAGGAAGAGGGATGAAGGAGAGATTAATATTAGTACTCACTATTATTACCGTGAATACACATACACCCTAATTACAGCAACTTTTCTGATTCAGAACTGTGGGCCTTGAATGCCAATCTCTAGAGGAAAATAAATAGAGACTCTGGAGGAGGGTGGAGAAATGAGGACAGAACTTCAGAGGGGACAGATGTATAATATGCAGACATTCACACCCATTGGGTTGCTTCATGTAATTGTAGAAATGAAGTCATTTGCATTCTTGTGTCATTATCTTAGGTATCTTGAAAACAATGTGCTTTCGATTTTGTCATTTAAACTCGTACTTGCCTTTCTCAGGTTTTTATCTGTTTCTGCTGTAAAACTTAAAATATATTCTAAATTACCTGGCCCTCCTCTTATTCTCCAATTTTCCTCCTATTTTCTGGCTTCAAAGTTTCTCTTGCACTGAACTATCTTCTTCTTTGCTTAGCAGTAGATGAAATAGCAGATTAAGAAGGCTTTGTCCTTGCATTGTCTTTTTTTATTTTGAGACAGGGTCTTGCTCTGTTACCCGGGCTGCAGTGCGGTGGTATAATCATAGCTCACTGCAGCCTCAATCTTCCGGGCTCGAGCAGTCCTCCCATCTTGGCCTTCTGAGTAGCTGGGACTACAGGCATGCACTACCTTGCTTGGCTTTTTTTTTTTTGTAGAGATGAGGTCTCACTTGGACACTTTTGCTAATCTTTTAGTAACCAACGTTTGAAATACGTGTCTGTGAACAGTTTTCAGTTGGCTTCCAACGCGCAGCCTGTCTGACTTTTCTTCTGTCTCCTTGCTGCACAGCTGGGCCCTTCTCTTCTGGCCTGTATGTTTTGGGAAGCTCCGGTGTACAGTCCTGCCTCTCCTTTCTCCCTCCCCAGGCCATGTCATGCTGTCCCAGGAGTCATGATGATGGTGGATTCACAGATTTATATACTCAGCCCCGTTCTCTGGGCTTACATATCCAACTTCTTGTAGGACATCTCCACGTGGAAGTCTGGTTCAAAACAGAACTTTTGACTTCTCTCCCTGCTCTATCTGTGACTGTAGAAAGCGATGCTGCATTTACTGGGCTGCTCATGGCCCAGACTTAGGAATTTTCTTTAAACCCACACCTCTGCATCCGACGAGCCTCGCTGCCTCTACACTCAACACACATTCCAAACCCAACAGGTGTGGGTCACCCCGTCACTACACTGGGCCCAAGCATTATTGTCCCTTACACTGGAGCATGGCAGCCCCATGCTACCTGGCTCCCACTGCCTCCCCACCTCACTCTCCACACTGCAGCCTGAGCCCTCTGTGAGAGATAAATACCATCACAGTATTTCCTTGCTCAAAGCCCAGCAATTAAATCCTGTCACCATCATACAAAAGCCCCTGCTCCTAATGTGGTCCACAGGACCTGCATGGCCTGGCCTTTCAGGTGACCTCCACCTTCCTCTCTGCCATCCCTGCAGCCAAGACCATGTCCAGCATGGAGCAGGAACCAAGGCCATGTCATCTCCTAAATTATGGCCACTCCACTACTGGGTATATTGAAGCCTGAAGAGCTGGAAAAATGTAAGTGCTTCCACAGTTCTTGTGAGTGGCTGAATTTGAGCCCAGGTCATCTGATTCCAAGGCAGCATAGATGCAACACCTGCCTCACGCAGGACGGCTGGGAAACCTGGGCCGTCTTTTAACTGTTGGAGAAATAAAAGCTAACACTCATGTGCAAGGAACTATCAACACATGTGAAGAGGAAAGGGACAGAAGGCACCAGAGGAATTAAGAAAAGGTGAGCTTTGGACAGGCACGGTGGCTCATGCTTGTAATCCCAGCACTTTGGGAGGCTGAGGCGGGTGGATCATGAGATCAAGAGATCGAGACTATCCTGGTCAACATGGTGAAACCCTGTCTCTACTAAAAATACAAAAAATTAGCTGGGCATGGTGGTGCATAATCCCAGCTACTCAGGAGGCTGAGGCAGGAGAATTGCCTGAACCCAGGAGGCAGAGGTTGCGGTGAGCCGAGATTGTGCCATTGCACAATTGCGCCATTGCACCTGGGTAACAAGAGCGAAACTCTGTCTCAAAAAAAAAAAAAGAAAAGAAAAGGTGAGCTTTATAGGACGCGAGTTGGAACACAGTGTGCCAAGCAGAGCCTGAGGAGCAGAAGGCGTCTGTTGGGGGTTACAGGACCTGAGTGCACCCAGAGCCCCGGGAAGCTGTGGATGGCCTGCAGCCAGGTACTCCAAGCTCACCATTTATTCCATCAACAGGCACACCAGGGGTTTCCACAGAAATAATAGATCTGCTCTATAAAGTCTGTGGAAAAAGAAAAAAGCTACATGTTTTTGTGTCTATTGGCAAGAAAATATACTTCATTTCATATTTGAAGTTGACATGGTGGCACTTAACTTCTTTCTCTTAATAAACATTGTTTTCAAATCAGTAAACATCCTATAAAAAGCAATAGGAAATTCTTACTGGCTTAACATTCAATCTGTTTGGATCATTAGGCTTCAGATTAGACAATACGCAAAATCCTTCCAACCCAGAATCTAACACGAGAATTGAAGGACAGTACGGAACCTGTTTGAATGAATTTGGAACTGTATTTTCTTTGCTCTCTCTCTCTCTCTCTCTTTCTCTCTCTCTCTCTCTCTCTCCCCCCCCGTGTGTGTGTGTGTGTGTGTGTGTGTGATGTATATATAATCTATACATACATATTTCATGTATTTCTACTTGTGAGATAATATTTTGTTAAAATGGAACACATTTTATTATAGATTCTAATTTATCTATGAAGAGACTGGAAAATATTCCTTTTCCCTATGATTTTAATAACCATATTCTGCCTTTAACCTAAAGGAGCCTCTTACCATTGGCCAAAGCTAGAATACTTAGAGCTTGCTGAGCTATGTCCTTCATGGAAACTCCTTCTCCTTGGGTATTATCAATGTTTCAGAGGTGATATCACTTTCCATAGGAACAGATGTATGTTATATCTTTAATTTGCCAGAAAACTTTGGCTGAAAATCATCTGTTTTTCTCTAAGAATGTTGGAAACTGAATTAAAATTCATAAAGATGATAAATAAGCATATAAAAAACATGATATGTTACCAGGGAAATGCAAATTAAAATGTCAGCAAGACACTGCCACACCCTTATTAGAGGGGCTGAAATCCAGACCCTGACAGTACCAAATGCTGACAAGGATATGGAGCAACAGGAACTCTCATCCATTTCAAAGTGGGAATGCAAAACAGTGTAGCCACTTTGGAAGACAATTTGGCAGTTTCTTATAAAACTAAACATTTTACCATAAAGTCCAGCAATCACGCTCCCTGGTATGTACCCAAATAAACAGAAGACATACATCCCTACAAAAATCTGCACACAGATGTTTATAGCAGCTTTATTTGTAACTGCCAAAACTTGAAAACAACCAAGACACCCTTCAGTAGCTGAAAGGATAAACTGATGCATCAGACGGTGGAATATTATTCACAGCTGAGCAGAGATGAGCTGTGAAGTCATGACAAGGCATGAAGGAAGCTTAAACGCATGTTCTTAAGGGAAAGAAGTAAACCTGAAAAGCGTACTTACTTGTGTGATTCTGGAACAGGCTAAATTATGGAATCAGTAAAAGGACCAGTGGTTGTCAGGGGTTAGCTGGGAGGGAGAGATGAACAGGTGGAACATAGAGGATTTTTAGGGCCGTGAAGCCACTCTACATGATGCTGTAATGGTGGATAGACATCATTATACTTGTTCAAACCTATAGAATTAACACGCAAAGTGAACCCCAATGTAAATGATGGGCTCTGGGTGACAAGGATGTCTGCCAGGCCTCATCGATTGTCATAAATGCTGTGCTTTGTGGGGGACGTGGATGGTGGGGAAGCTGTGTGAGGGGAGGAGGTAACAGGAGCTCAATTAATTTTAACTCTCCACTTAATTTTACTTTTTTTTTTTTTTTGAGATGGAGTTTCGCTCTTGTTACCCAGGCTGGAGTGCAATGACGTGATCTCAGCTCACCACAACCTCCGCCTCCTTGGTTCAGGCAATTCTCCTGCCTCAGCCTCCTGAGTAGCTGGGATTATAGGCATGCGCCACCGTGCCCAGCTAATTTTTTGTATTTTTAGTAGAGACGGGGTTTCACCATGTTGACAGTGATGGTCTCGATCTATTGACCTTGTGATCCACCCACCTTGGCCTCCCAAAGTGCTGGGATTACAGGCGTGAGCCACCGCGCCTGGCCCCACAATTTTACTGTTCTAAAAAAGTCTATTTAAAAGAAAAAAAATCTATTCAAAAAGTTGCTGATTTATGACAAGTGTGCTTTCTTGATCATTTCCAGATATTTCTTCTAAAAGGCAACTGAGATGTAAGTGAAAGCTGAAAAATCTCTCCAGGACTGCACTTCAGTGAACCATTTAGTGAACAAAAAACAGAGGTCAAGGGTAAAAATCCCAAGAAAGGACTAGAAGAAGCATCCCAGCAAGAAGGCTCAGGGGTGCAGCTACCAGCCAGTATCCCTGAAGGTGTCCCTACAGGAGAGTTGCAAGTTGAGTTCTGAATGCAACAGTATTTGAAAGTGTCCAACACCAAGGGAAAGAAAGACAAGAGACAACTTCACAGCTGAGGATGTGGAAGCCCTGAGACCTCAAAGGTCGCATGCAGCTGGTGTTGGAGGCAGGCCCCGGAGGAGCTGGGGGGAACAAACAGGAAACGACAGGTCCAGACTGACTCCTGGGCCTGGGTGGCCTTGAGGGACCTGGGTGCTCTTCAAGAACCTCCCTCTTTTGATGAGACTGGTGTGTTAGGGGTGTCCTGTGTAAACAAACTGTGAGGGCACTGGAAACTCTAGGATCAGGCCAGCTTCCCACAGCCATTACCTATCGGGGCAGCTATGGGGTCTGCCGCAGCACCTCCTGTTGAGGATTGGTCTGAGCCCATCCACCACAGCCACTGCTGGTGCCCGGAATTCACCTCAGGGGTGTGTTCTTTTCTTTTATCTTTCTTTTTTGCTTTCTTTCTCTATTTTTGTCACAAATCTCAGTCTTTTTAAGATATGATTGCCATATAAAAAGTTGTACTGGTTAGTCCTGTTGCTGCTTCTCCAGCAGTCTTTTCCCATGGAAGAGTCTTCCAAAATCAGCTGACTCACTGTATAAATGCATGCCCCAACCACATGCCATCCATATAAAGAACACTGTGACCACACTGCCTTTCAATTGTCTTCTGCTGTAGATCCAGCTTTCAGCTCTTTCTTGCTCTGTGGTTCTGCAGGAGACATAACCAGAGTTCCTGGTGGCAGAGAGTTGGCCAGAACAGAGGAATGTAGGAGGCAGGTTAGTCTTGGGAGAAAGTGATCAGTTGCCAGACTGATTAGAAATTGGATCTTACGTTAGGTTTGACCCAAGAATTGAGATTCACAGGACAATCTCTGCAGACCATTTTCTGCTGTGAAGTCTGAGATGAAATGAAGATTACTGGACAACGAAAGTTGAAAAATGCCTGATAACGCAGCCCATTTGGAAGGTGCAGAGTTTGGAGATCCCTAGAAACCAGATGATGAAAAGCATGGCTCCTCAGGCAAGGCGCTTCCTCTGCAGCTGCTGTGGCCCTGGCTGGCTGGCATCGATTACCCGAGGAGAGTGCAGTGATCTCACACCCCTCCCCAACACCAGTGTGACCCCACCCAGACTCCCACAACCTCAGACTTGAATTGGAGGTTGGGGGGGTTAGGGTAACAGGGAAGAAGACACATGGCCTGTTCTCGAACATAGAATGTGAACTCTGTAACACAGACTGTCTCTCATAAGGCCCTTTCCAGCTCAAACAGCAAGGCGCAGACAGCTTGCTCTTGTGCCTAACAGAGAGCCTTCTTTCTGAAGACTGGAGAAAGAGCTCCAGTGAGATTTACTGTGAGGTACTGGTTCAAGTAACTGTGAAAGCTGTAAAGTCCCACAGCCTGGCATCTGCAAGGTGAAGATCCAGGAAAGCCCATGGCTTCATTCGAAAAAGCCCGAAAGCCGGAAAGTCAAGGGCAAGAGAAAACTGGTGTTCCAGCCCCATTTTCGGGCAGAGAGGGAATTCAATCTTCCTCCACCTTTTGCTCTCTTCTGGCCTGCGGAGGATTGGACGAGGCCAGCCCATGATCTTCACTCAGTCCACTGATTCAAACGCTCATCTCCTCCAGAAACATCCTCATAGACACACCCAGAAATCATGCTTTAACAGCCATCTGAGCGTCTCATGGCCCAGTTAAGTTGACACATAAAATTATCACATAAAAACACACCTTCAGATTCAGGTCATTTTTGAATGCCTAAGTATGATGTTCTATGAGGTATTAGAATGAATACATCCTTGTTTAATTTCCATAGTAGAATATGTAAAGTAATATTTTATTTGTCTTAAATATGTCTTTAATATAAATATATTATGTTCTATCATTTGATAGTATTTTGTGGTTTCAATTCAGTCCAACCTAATGTAACTATAAAAAATATATTGAAAAGTTACAGGAAAGGAAAACTAAGATAGATGCAGCCTTGACTTGCAAGATTTTACAAATTAGGAAGAAATACATGTGCACAGACGGTCTTGATACAGACAATGCTTGTCAGAGTATTCTGAGGAAGGTCATTCCAAAACAGCTCTGATCATGAAAAATGTCCAAGGTCTCCACATTGTCTGCAAGAGAAGACCAAACCCCACAGGCCTTCCTACAGAGACATTTGCCATCAGAATTCATTTTCCCTCTTCATCTTCTGTTTCCTCCTAACCTACATTCAGGACCCTTGAATAGCCACCCACTCACAGATTTCTCAAAAATGATGTTCTCCCATGTGTCCTTGTGTGTTTAACGTGATTTCTTTACCCTAGAATTCTTGTTTTCTTTTCTACCCTGAGCATTCATCAAAACTTACTTAAATGTCAACTCCCTGCTCAGCATCCCCCGCTTCTCCAGGCAGGGTTTGTCTTTTCCTCTCTGGCACTTCATGGACACATTGTGTGTACCTATTACAGATTTTCAATACAAAATTACAATGATTCATTTACTCATCTGCTTTGCTTGACTGAGAAATCCTCGGGCCTGGCCCCTCTACTCACCTGAAGTTCCCTGAGGAGCCTGGGTGCACCCTAAAGATGAGAGGTAGGAGACTGGGGTGAGCGCATGGGTGAAGGGGCCTCAGGAGCAGCCTTGTTTCTCCCTCTTTGATATTACAAGTAATATATCTCCCTAAGATATTACAAATAATATCACAAAGTGTTCAAACATACTCTACACTGGCTACAACATTCAGAGTAGTATCTCTTTAAAATATACACCCATATCAACCCGACGGTAATATTCGGAGTAATATCCTTAAAATGTACACCCACATCAATCACCCGCCATAGGGTGAGTAACATCACCCGGGTTCCACCTGAATATTATGAACCATATCACAGAGGAGTGGCCATACCTGTGACTCGTAGTAGCTCTCCCTAAGATACTATGAATAATATCACAGGGTGTACACAAATACTTTACACATACTTTGATATTACGAGTAATGACATGTGCTGAATATCACAAACAAGATAAGTGTTGAAACATACTCTACAATAACTAAGGTATTAGGAGTAATATCTCTTTAAAATATACAACCACACCCACGCAACATTAGATATTAGGCGACATATCTCTTTAAAGTATACACGCAGAGGAAGCTGCTGCCAGAGGGTGAGTAATATCCCTCCAGCCCCCTGTGGATATTACGAACCCTCTGGCTAAGGGACTGTGCCCACAACCCTGTCAGAGAGGGTATCCACCCGGACCCCCCTGGATATTATGAAACTAGGGGGGCTGTACACACAGCCCCCACCAGAGGGCGAGTAATATCCCCGCGGCCCCCACTGTATATTAGAAGTATACTACGAAATTTCTGGCTAGGGGGCTATGTCTACAGCCCCCTACAGCCCCCACTGCAGGGCAAGTAGCAGCACCCCGGCCCCTTCCCCCCGCCCCGGCTGCTACGAATCAGCTATTTAGAAAAATTGGAGTAATATGTTACTGGGAACCATATCATAGGAAGAAGATAATGTTATTCTGGTTTTTGTTTTTGTTTTTGAGACGGAGTTTCGCTCTTGTTACCAGGGCTGGAGTGCAATGGCGCGACCTCGGCCCACCGCAACCTCCATCTCCTGGGTTCAGACAATTCTCCTGCCTCAGCCTCCCGAGTAGCAGGAGAATTACAGGCACGCGCCACCATGCCCAGCTAATGTTTTTTTATTTTTAGTAGAGACAGGGTTTCACCGTGTTGACCAGGATGGTCTCGATCTCTTGACCTTGTGATCCACCCGCCTCGGCCTCCCAAAGTGCTGGGATTACACGCTTGAGCCACAGCGCCCGGCCTGTTTTTTTTTTTTTTTTTTTTTAATTTGTACATCATGTACATATACAATAACACTAGTTCTACTTACACCTCTGCGATATTGACAAAAATATTATCCTCAACCCTATACACATTAGAATTGCAATCACAGGGGGGTTTCACCCCTTGCAATATTTAATTCAATATAATTATTTTTTTCTGTGGACATTAGTTACCATATGAGAGCTTGATGTACACCTCTTGCCATATTGAGAGTATTACCATATGGGCAGTAACATCATCCTCTCTTTCCCTGGATATTAGTAAGAATATCACAGGATAGGTGTACAGCCCCAGCCACACCATAATATCATCTCTCATTCCCTAGATATAAGGAACAATATCACTGCGGGTTTGTGTGCTTCCTGAGATATTTGGAGTAATATCCTCTCCGTTTTTGGATATTAGAAACAATATTACAGTGGTGGGGTACACTTCCTGCGATATTCAGGGTATAATCATCGTCTCTCCCCAGGATATTAGGAACTACATCACAGAAGCGTTGTACACTGCCTGTGATATGGAACAACCACAGAGTGTACACTTGCTTTCACAATGAGAGTAATATCTACTTAGGACATAATGGATAATATTACAAACTGTACACACATGGGTGTACACCCACTTTGATATTAGAAGTAATTTTTATCTAATATACTAAAAACAATATCCCAGAATATACTCATAATTTGTACATTTATTGGGATATTACAATAAATGTATATAATATGTACCATATATACATTTACTGTGATGTACATATGTGTACATAATACACATGTACAATGAATGTACATAATCTGTACAATATGTACATTTATATGTACAGAATGTGTACAATAGGTACATTTATTGTAAATCACAATATATATACAATCACAATAACATATATTATCACAATATATATGTAATATATATCACAATAAATGTACCTGTTGTACACATCATGTACATATACATGTATTGTGATATTACAATATGTGCACATGTACCATAATGTACACATTAGGTACAGATGTACAATATCTACACGAATACATATGTGTGCACTTTATGTACATAATGTACAATATGTACACATGTTCATAATGTGATTATGTAGAGATGTACCATATATGTGCACAGTATGTAGATATGTACAATAAGTACACGTGTACATATATGTACACATGTAGATATGTACCATCTGTACATGTGTACATAATAAGTACAATATGTACACCCATGGGTGTATACCCACTTTGATAATAGGAGTAATTTTTATCTAATATACTAAAAATAATATCCCAGAATGTACTCATAATGTGTACATGTATTGGTATATTGCAATAAATGTATATAACATGTACAATATGTACATTTACGATGATGCACATATGTGTACACAATTCATATGTAGAATAAATGTACATAATCTGTAAAAGATGTACCATTATATTTATATAATGTGTACACAATGCATAGGTACATAATGTGTACACTATGTACATTTATTGAAATATCAGTGATATATATATAATCATAATAACATATATAATCATAATATATGTAATACACAATATCATAAAAATGTACATATTGTACACATTATGTACATATGTATTGTGGACATATTATGTACATATACATTTATTGTGATAACACTATATGTACACATGTACATAATGTACACACGATGTACATTTGTACTATATGTAAATGTATTCATATATGTGCACATTATGTAAATTATGTATACATGTAGAAATCTTTGAAAACTATGTACATATGCAAAGCACCCTTGCCCGCAGCCCCCACCAGAGGGCCCGTAGCAGCCCCCCGGCCCACCCTGGCTGCTAGGGACTGGCTATTTTGAAAATGTGGTGGAATATGATACTGGGAACCATATCATAGGGAGATAATAATGTTATTCTGTCTTTTTTTTTTTTTATTGGGCACAATAACACTACTTCTACTTACACCTCTGCGATATTGACAAAAATGTCATCCTCACCCCACTTGACATTAGAATTGAAATCACACAGGGGTTTTACCCCTTGCAATGTTTAATTCAATACAATTGTTTTTGTGTGGACATTAGTGACCATATCAGAGCGTGGTGTACAGCTCTTGCCATTTTGAGAGTATTTCTATATGGGCAGTAACATTATCCTCTCCTTCCCTTGATATTGGGAACAATAATATCACAGGACGGGTGTACACCCCCAGTCATATCGTGAGTAATATCATCTGTAATCCCCTAGTTATTAGGAACAATATCACGGCGGGTTTGTGTGCTTCCTGAGATATTTGGAGTAATACCCTCTTGGTTTTTGGATATTAGAAACAATATTACAGTGGTGGTGTACACTTCCTGCGATATTCAGGGTATAATCATCGTCTCTCCCCAGGATATTAGCAACTACATCACAGAAGCGTTGTACACTGCCTGTGATATGGAACAATCACAGAGTGTACACTTGCTTTCACAATGAGAGTAATACCTCCTTAGGACATGATGAATAATATCACAAAATACGCACACATGGCTGTATACCCACTTTAATATTAGAAGTAATTTTTATCTAATATACTAAAAATAATATCCTAGAATATACTCATAATGTGTACATTTATTTGGATATTACAATAAATGTATATAATATGTACCATATGTACATTTACTGTGATGCACATATGTGTACACAATACATATGTACAGTAAATGTACATAGTCTGTACAATATGTACATTTGTATGTACATAATGTGTATGATATGTACATTTATTATGATATCACAATGATATATATGTAATCACAATAATATATATAATACATAATATCACAGTAAATGTAAAAATTGTGCACCTTATGTACATGTAATTTATTTTGGTATTGCAATATGTAAACGTGTACATAATGTACACATTATGTACATGTGTACTATATATACACGTGTACATATGTGTGCACATTATGTACATTATATATGGATGTACAATATGTTCACGTATACATAATGTACACATTATGTACATGTGTACTGTATATACACGTGTACATAATGTGCACATTATGTAGAGATGTACAATATGTACACGTTTACATAATGTTTACATTATGTTTACATATGGACAGTATGTACACGTGTACATATAGGTGCACATTATGTACAAATGTACAATACATACGCATGTACATATAGGTGCACATTATGTACATCTGCACAGTCTCTTCACCAGTGAGCAAATGGACGCTGCATTGCCCTTGATGCCAGCAGGGGGCATGTTGCCACTACAATTTGAGCAAGAGGCCCCTGCAGTGGTCTGCCACCAGGAGGGGGCACCCAAGCCCGCCTTTTCAGATACCTATTTTTGTTTTAAGAAACTATGCATCGCGTCACAGCGCCGCCCTTTGTCGCGTCACAGCGGTCTGCAGAGTTGCCTTCTCCTTCGTATAGACCTGGGGGTCACTTCGAGGGTGGAACTGCGTCCTTTTCAGCACAGAACCTGGGACTTGGGTCTTACTGTGAGAGGGCCTCGCAGTGGCCCTAGTCGCCAGAAGAGGGCAGGGGCACATCACCGGGAGCAAGAGGGCCCCCGGCCGCCAGCAGGGGGCGCCCGAACCCGCCTTTTCAGATGGCGGGTCTGCAGTGTTTTATTGTCCTCATTGCAGACCTGGGGGGCACTGCGAGGAACCTAGCGGGCACAGCCTCACTTTGGGACAACTCTGGGCCGTGTCCACAGTGAGTAAAATACTTCTTGTTTGCAGCCTGACTGCTTAGGGTCAGAGACTAGTAGGAAGATGGTGTGGAAACCTGGACACCAAAAGCCCCTCTGAATCCTGTGTGCCGAGGTTCTCCCAAGCCACGGCCACGCGGCTGCAGTGCAAGGTTCACACCGCAGCCTCAGAACACAAATAGAGTGTTCCTAAGGCAGATATGACATCCGAAATGCGAATACAACACCCGCAGTGCTCATGTAGAAAACAGCTGTGATGCTAATGCAAGGCCTCAGTCCACAATGTTACTATAAAATCCGCACTGCTCATGCGGCCAGGCTGATACAGCAGTTTGAATCGTCAACACTGACATATCAGTGCAAACGCTGAAACTAACGTATGTTTACGGCTTACGGTGAGGATTAGGGCTAGGGGTTAGGGTTAGAGGTGGGAGTTACCGGTTAGGCGTTAGGATTTAGGGGTTAGAAGAATTTTAGGCAATAGACCTTACACCTAATCAGGAATACTTGTTTGAAAGGAACAAAGAACTTTCTCAGGGAGGTTGTATGAGTTCATTTCGATGGAACAGAGATGGCGACTTCAAAGGACGAAAATGGGATACAGACCTGCCCAGGGATTCTGCTATCATCATGCATGTATTTTGCACCTACCTTGATTCCAGATTACCTCCACATCCTAAGTATCCCGACGGAAAAACTTTTACTTCTCAGTACTTTGTTCAGACACCAAATAAGCCAGATGTCACGAATGAGAATGTTTTTTGCATTTACCAGAGTGCCATCAACCCTCCCCATTATGAGCTGATCTACCAGCGTCACGTATACAACCTGCCAAAGGGCAGAAATAATATGTTTCTTACATTGTTGATGTTTCTCTACATCATAAAAACCAAAGAGTTAGGAATGCTTGGGAGAGTTAATCTTGGTCATTCTGGCGTGAATATATTGTGGATCTTTGGCGAGTAGCAAGTCATATATTTAATTCCAGGCATTTGGATTTTTATTTCACTGAACCAGAAGTTGAAACTAAACATCTCTGAGTCACTGCCTCTCTTCTGTACGTTACAGGGTCTTGAAATTAATGAAAAATGTAGCTATTATGAAATGTCATTTTAAAAATATGTCATGTAGTTTCTATATCAAGAGACATTACCTTTAATTTTTTATCTTTTTCAGGAATTTCAGTTGACTACAAAACTGCAACCCGTCAGATATTTATTGACTCAAAACAGTGTGATACCCCTTAATGAAATAGATTTTTAGTCCTTTTTTCATTATAACCCCCAAATGAGAATCATCTACTTGATTCTTCCACCCCAAAAAACATTTTTCAGTCTTTTTTTTTTTTCTCTTTTTCTTTTTTTGAGACAGGGTCTCTGTTGTCCAGACTGGAATGCAGTGGCATGATCTCAGCTCACTTCAACTTCTTCCTCCCAGGCTCAAGCGATTCTCCCGCCTCAGCCTCCCAGGTAGCAGGGATTACAGGCACACACCACCACGCCTGGCTAATTTTTCTATTTTTAGTAGAGACAGGGTTTTACCATGTTGACCAGGCTGGTCTCGAACTCCTGATCTCACTCAGTTGATCCACCCACCTCAGCCTTCTAAAGTGCTGGGATTATAGGTGTGAGCCAATAATCCTGTGCCTGGTCTCAAGTCATTTTATTTAATAGTATAAGTACTTAGAAAATAAGAAAATTGAAGAAAAAATTTTAAAAACTAAAAAAAATAAATAAATAAGAAAATTGCCGACTTATTGTTTTTTATGTTTCCTCAGTGTTCTGCAAGTTAGCCCAAAGCCCACATTTCAAGAAATGAGATTAACTCTTAAGTAATGTAAAAAAGTTATGTATATTTTAAAATACTATTAAAAGAGGTTTGACAGTATTGACATTTAAAAAGTCAGCACTTGGATTAAATGTAGCTGGTAGAATTATTTGGATTTTAGTTACGAGTCTGAGGATATCAAGAAAACTGTTTATCACTTTGGTTTTTAGCAAATCAGTTTTACTATTCCGTAATACCATGTTACTAGAGAGTTCTTTTTTTAAGATCACAGTGATATCCTATCTGTTTAAATTTTTTTCATATGTTCAAAATATCTGGAGGGTGAGAAGTTACCGACTTTGTATGTTTTGTTTGACTCACCATCTTTATTTTCTGTAGGTATATGTAGTAGCTGGCAACTGCATATATTTTTTTGATTAACATTTTAGAGACTGTCTCCATCATCTATGTCAACCTGGAAACAGCTGAAACCAGCCTTTTCTGAAGAACTGTATATCAGTATTATATGCGCATCCCATTTTGTCTTACCTGCAGATTTTGGAATTACTCTGGAAGAGAAGTGTACGTATTTTTTTTTTTTTTTTTTGTTATCTGCAGTATGGTTTAGCGTAAGATGTATTAAGAATACACATGTGCAAACTCACTGAAGTATCCCCAGCAATTAGTAAATTCTTAATTCGATTCAGTACAGTTATCTCTTTGTAAATTCTGTCTTTTAAAAAGTTGTTCGTGTTTTTAAAAGTGGATATCCAAAGGAAACTCATTTAAGTGCTTTTGGTGTATGTTAAACATTTATTTGCTGTGATATTCTAGTATAAAATATCAAACATGTTAAATATATTTTTTAAAAAAAGAATTTTAGGCAAAATAGTTTATTTAAGCAAACGAATGATTCATGAATCACACCTGAAGCACCAGAATGGAAAACAGGGCTTGGGGCTTCGAGCTCTTAGTGATGGCAGCTAAGTGAGGCTTCTCCTTGGCTCCAGCTAGGCGACCGCCTGTGTGGGGATGGTTCCCTCAGCGTCCCTAGTCATACAGCCAACTGGCGGCTGGGCTTATTGTCATTGACTGGTCAGTTTGCTAATGTTTTGAAGTCAGTTTTAATGCCTCCAATTCGGTTTCCGTGTGCTTTGCAAGACCTCAGGCTAACGGCTTCCTCCTGTTTTGCTTTAACATGTCAAAACCATAATTCATTTTCATTTTACTTTACTGGCATTAATAGAAGTAAATTCATATTTTTGTTGTTATTCAGAAAGTCAGTTTAATTGGCAACCTATTTGTGATGGTGCATAAAATAATGTCTGTTAATCATTAGCCTCTTAGATTAGATGAAATATGTTAACTCTATTAAGCTTTGTTATTAAACCATAACAGGAGTTGAGTTTCTTTTTTCTTTTTTTTTTCCGCCTAGGCTTTAACCATTTAAAATACACTCAAGCATCTCCTAATGATATGAATTCTTGCTGAGAAATTTGTCCTTGGTGATTTCATTCTTGTCCGAACACCGTAGAGTGTCCTTTTAAATCCTATATAGTGTAGCCCACTCCACACATAAGTTATATGGTATAGCCTATTGCTCCCATGCTACTTTTCATACTTTTTGGTAGAGATGGGGTTTTGCCATGTTGGCCAGACTGGTCTGAAACTCCTGACCTCATGTGATCCACCCACCTCGGCTTCCCAAAGTGCTGGGATTACAGGCATGAGACACTGCGCCCGGCCACAGTGAAATTAATAACGCCCCCTTCACTCTCTGGGAAGACTGGGATTAGAGGATAATTTATATCAGAAATTCATTAACCTTTTCATAAATGACCGGGTTGTGTATATTTTTGGCTAGTGGGCCAGACAGTTTCTGTCACAACTGCTCAAAACATGAAATATAGAAACGAATGGATTTGGCTGTGTTCCAATAAAACTTTATTGATAAGAGTAGGCAGTATGCAGGATTTGGTCTCTGGGCCATGGTTTGCCTTCCGCTGGATTGTTAGCCATCGGACATGGAAAGAACAAGACCCCAGCGAGTAGCAGGACGGTTTGTTCAGTGGGAGAGATTTCCTGCTGCAGCTTCTGCCTCTGGCCTCTCCAATGCAGAGGCTGGCCAGGTCAGGAGTCTCCTGTAACTGGCCTCTTGTGCCCCACAGCTGCCAGGAATGATAGCATCATGATACACGGTGCCACCTTTGCCTGGTTCCAGGAAAGCCCTCCCTGCTTCCACAGGTGCAGAATGACACCCATGGAAACCAGCCTCATGTTTTTAGGGAGAAGCTGCATGGGGCTCCTGCCGACTTCCACCTGAGGGTTGGTGCAGGTTTCCAGCCTGGGTTGTGAGGGTGGGTTAGGTTGGGCCAGGGCTCTGCCAGGAAGGTTCCCAGGATGCTCCTGTACCTCCTGCAGGTGGGGACCTGTACAACATAGACCTGCACCTCCTGCAGATGGGGACAAAGGCATCTGAGTGTCCCACATCAGGAGGAGACACCCCTCTGCTCCCAGGCTGGCCAAGATGTTGCCAGGGTGAGGCTGGCTGAGGAGCTCCATGGTTCAGCCTCGTCAGCTTTGCTAAATTCTGTTGGACATATATCAGTCCCAGATCATTATTATCTATAGCCCCCAACTCCGTGGCTTGGTCTTTGTGGCCTAAAATCTCAGCCAGCCCTGAAACTCCACAAGAAGGGAGAGAAAATGTCCTGGGCAGTATTTGTATTCGTTGTCATTCACTCACTTCATTGATGGAGCACTAGCTATGGGGCCATGCTCTGTTCTAGGTACGGGGGATTGGGTGAAAGAAACAGACAAGGGCCCAGCTCTCTTGGGGTGATATGCTAATAGAGGTGAGGCCTAAACAGGAATCTAGGGCAGGGGGACAGAGCACGATGGCATGCCTAGTGAGGGAAGGCTTGGCATTCAAGCTGAGATCATAAGGAAAGACAGTGAGCTGTGCAGGTGTCTGGGAGAAGAGTTCTTTTTTGAAAACAGTCTTGCTCTGTCTCCCAGGCTGGAGTGCAATGGCACGATCTCGGCTCACTGCAACTTCCACCTCCTGGTTTCAAGCGATTCTCTTGCCTCAGCCTCCTGAGTAGCTGGGATTACAGGTGCACACCACCACACCCAGCTCACTTTTGTATTTTTAGTAGAGACGGGGTTTCACTATGTTGGCTGTGCTCGTCTCCAACTCCCAATCTCAAGTGATCCACCTGCCTCATCTCCCAAAGTGTTGGGATTACAGGCATGAGCCACCATGCCTGGCATGGGAGAAGAGCCTTCTAGGCAGTGGGAATGGCATATGCAAAGGTCCTGGGTCAGGAGTATGCCTGGACTTGGGTTTTCCAACCTCAGCATGGTTGATATTTTGGGCTGAAACGTCATCGTTGGGTTCTGTCCTGTGCATTGTGGGATATTTAGTGGACCCCCAGTCTCTACCCACTAGATGCCAGCAGCACCCCCTACCAGTTGTGACACCCAAAAATATCTCTAGATCTTGCCAAATGACTCTTGGGGGATGCAGTCATCCCCAGTTGAGAACCACTGACCTTTTGTGTTCAAGAAACAGCAAGGAGGTCAGCGTGGCCAAGAAAGAGCAGCTGAGGCACAGAGCGGAAGGAGCCGGGACATCGTTCATGATCATCAGGGCTTTACCTTTGACCCTGAGTGAAATGGGAGTGCTGACGTGTTTAGCTGGGAAGTGTTAAGAGCTGACTTGGGTTTTTTGTTTGTTTGTTTGTTTTTTGAGATGGAGTCTTGCTCTGTTGCCAGGCTGGAGTGAAGTGGTGTGATCTCAGCTCACTGGAACCTCCACCTCCCGGTTCAAGCAATTCTCCTGCTTCAGCCTTCCAAGTAGCTGGGACTACAGGCATCCGCCACCACACCCAACTAATTTTTGTATTTATAGTAGAGACGAAGTTTCTCCATATTGATCAGGCTGGTCCTGCACCCCCAACCTCAGGTGATCCGCCCACCACAGCCTACCAAAGTACTGGGGTTACAGGCGTGAGCCACTGCCGACTTGGGTTTTAACAAATCCCTCTGGTCACGGGGTAGAGGATGGGCTGTGGGACATGGACAGGAGTGGGGCAGGACCAAGAGCAGGGGCAGGCAGGGTAGGAAAGAGCCTACTTATTGCAGAGCCAAGGTAGGAGGCCAGGCTGGTGAAACCCTCACACGGCAGCCAACTCTGTGTGTATGTGGGTGGACGTGCATGCATGTGTGTGCATGGTGTGAGTGTGTGCACAGAGGTATGCGTGTGAGCATGGATTGCTTGGGTATGCACGTGCGCTTTTTTGAGTGGATGTGTGCCCACTTTGTGTTGCTGTGCATGCTAGCATGCTTGTATGAGTATGCGAATGTGCATGCATGTGTGCACGCTTTGTGTGTGTGCATGAGTGTGCACATGCACAAATGTGCACAGGATGGTTGCTCAGATAGCCAGACAAGGACTGGGAAAAGAACAGCCCCACAGGTGCTCTTAGACTCCCAGAGCAGGAAAGCTCGGCTCCATCTGAGGCTCACCCTTCCTCAAAGATGGATGCTGGGCCCTAACCAAGGTCCTGTCTTCTTTCTTGTATTGAAAGAATAAACCTCACCATGCCCCAGGGCTGTTTCCTGGCTGTAGTTGGTCCAGTGGGAACACACAAGTCCTCCCTGCTGTTCGTCCTCTTTGGGGAGCTGTCAAAGGTGGAGGGGTTTATGAGCATTAAAGTAAGGCCACCCCCTGCCTGTCTGCTGGGATGTCCCCATCATGCTGACAGTCCCCCTTCCTCACTGCCTTTCCACCTCTCTCCATCCCAGCCAAGCTCACTTTCATTCATTCTCTCCACCACCCACCCACTGAGAGCCCAGCTCCCACTGCTCCTCAAAACCTATCATACCTCTGTCCCCATCATCCTTCTGTGACCAAAGTAAGTTGTGTTTTAGTGTTCGGTGGCCTACATGCTCCAGGAGGCCTGGGTGCAGAACATCTCTGTGGTGGAGAAAGTGTGCCTCAGGCAGTAGTTGGACCCAGCCTGGGTGGAGAGAGTCCTAGAGACCTGTGCCCTGTGGCCAGATGTGGACAGCTTTCCTGCGGGAGTCCACACTTCAATTGGGGAGCAGGTGAAAGTCTCGGGGTCTTTGGGTCAGGGAGGCACTGCAGTTGGGGGTCATTTTGGTCCCTGACTCATCATGGATGGTATGATGGAGAAATGCAGGAAGCAGTCAGGGAAGTGGAGGAGAAGAAGTGCTTAGCTTAGGGTCAAGCACATACTAGGTGCTCAATAAATAATCATTAATCAATAAATAGAAATGGACACAAAGAGAGGGGCAAGGAGTTGTGGTAGGAATTGGCTGTGAGGGTCTCTCTGACAACTGAGAGTGAGATGACTAGACTCCTGTCTTACTCTGCCCTGCCTTGCTGGGTGACTTTGATCTAATTGCTTCCACTCTCTGGGCCTCACCAAAGGGTCTGGACAGAGATGTCCAAGACACAGGATATATGCATCTGGAGCTATGGTTTGGGCAGTAGCTCACAAACTGTGACTCCCAGGCCAAATCCAGCCCTCCACTTGTGCAGTTGTGTGTGTGTGTGTGTGTTTGAGATGGAGTCTCACTGTTGCACAGGCTGGAGTGCAGTGGTGCAATCTTGGTTCACTGCAACCTCCCCCTCCCACATTCAAGAAATTCTCCCACCTCAGCCTCCTGAGTAGCTGGGATTACAGGTGCATGCCACCACAAATGGCTAATTTTTATATTTTTAGTAGAGACAGTGTTTCACCATGTTGGCCAGGCTCATCTCGAACTCCTGACCTCAGGCCATCTCCCCATTTCCCTCAGAGTCAAAGCCCAAGTCGTGATGATTTCTGGCAGGGTCTCTGTCACCTTGCTCTGGTACCCATCATCCCCATCTCTCATCATCATCTCCTGGCTTCACTCCAGCCTCCAGAGTCTCTGTGATGATTCCTGATCCCCCGCAGCACACTCTGTCCCCAGGACCTTTGCACCTGCTGTTCCCACTGTTGGAAATCTCTCCCCAGGAGTTCCCAGGGCTCATCCCTCACTTCTATAACATTCACAGAGAAGCCTTCCCTGATTACCTTATCCACCACCACCACCTCAACCCTGCTCATGCTAGTGCGCCTTACACCCACATCTGATTTTGCTTTCCTTTCCTTTCATTTCATTTTCTTTCTTCTTTCCTTTCCTTTCCTCTCCTTTTATTTTTCCTTTTCTTTTTTTCTTGAGACAGAGTCTTGCTGTGTTCCCCAGGCTGGAGTGCAGTTGCACAATCTCAGCTCACTGCAACCTCTGCCTCCCAAGTTCAAGCAATCCTCCCACCTCAGCCTTCTGAGTAGCTAGGATTACAGGAAGGTGCCACCATTTTTGTACTTTTAGTAAAAATGGGGTTTCACCATGTTGGCCAGGCTGATCTCGAACTCCTAACCTCAAGTGATCCACTCACCTCAGCCTCCCAAGATGCTGAGATTACAGGCGTGAGCCACCGCACCTGGCTGCACCTGCTTTAGATTTTATTCTTCATAGTGCTTTCCACCTGATGTGCTGTCTGTGTTACTGATTTGTTTGTGGATTGCCTGTCTTTCTCCCCTTCATTAGAATGATGGATCCATTCAGATAGCAGAAACTTTGTTTCTTTCTATTTCTAGGCATTGCTGTTTATTCTTTGTTTATTTCTATTTCTAGGCATTACTGTTTCCCCAAAGCCTAGAACTCTGACGGGGATGTGATAACCAGGCAGTAGTTATTAGTGGAATGAATTAATGTAAGAATGAATGAATGTGTCATCTGAGTCTAGATTACAAAGAAAAAAAAAAGAATAAATGAATGGCCAGGTGTGGTGGCTCATGCCTGTAGTCCCAGCACTTTTGGAGGCTGAGGCAGGTAGATTGCTTGAAGTCAGGAGTTCGAGACCAGCCTGGCCAACATGGTGAAACTCCATCTCTACTAAGAATACAAAAATTAGCCAGGCATGGTAGCGCATCAGTAATCCCAGCTACACGGGAGGCTGAGGCAGGAGATTGAACCCAGGAAGTTGAGATTGTGGTGAGTCGAGATCATGCGACTGCACTCCAGCATGGATGAAAGAGCGAGACTGTCTCAAAAATAAATAAAAATAATTTAAAAAAAGAATACATGAAAGACAAGAAGGCCTAGATAGAAAGAATAAGTGATAGTAATCAATAGTACACAAGGGAAACCATAGTGAATGAGCATCTATTTGTAAATTTCAAGATAGCTAGAAGACAAGGATTGTTGTGTACTCAATACAAAAGATAGGTATTTGAGGTAATGACTATCTCAGTTACCCTGATATGATCATTACATACTGTCTACATCAGGGGTCCCCCCACCCCCAGCCACAAATCAGTACTAGTCTGAGGCCTGTTAGGAACTGTACAGGCAGCACAGCAGGCGAGCAGCAGGCAGGCGTGTGAGGCTTCATCTGTGTTTACAGCCACTCCTTATTGTTTGCATCACCACTTAAGCTCCACCTCTAGTTCAGTGGCAGTGTTAGTCTCATAGGAGTGCAAACCCTACTGTAAAAAGCACATGCAAGGGATCTCGGCTGCAGGCTCCTTCTTCTTCTTCTTCTTCTTCTTCTTCTTCTTCTTCTTCTTCTTCTTCTTCTTCTTCTTCTTCTTCTCTTCTTCTTCTTCTTCTTCTTCTTCTTCTTCTTCTTCTTCTTCTTCTTCTTCTTCTTCTTCATTTTGAGGTGCAGTCTCACTCTTTCCCAGACTGGAGTAGAGTGGTGCATTTTTGGCTCACTGCAATCTCCACTTTTCAGGTTGAAGCCATTCTCCTGCCTCAGTCTCCTGAGTGGCTGGGATTACAGACACATACCACCATGCATGGCTAAGTTTTGTATTATTTTAGTAGAGACAGGGTTTCACCACGTTGGCCAGGCTGGTATCAAACTCCTGACCTCGTGATCCCCCCATTTTGGCCTCCCAAAGTGCTGGGATTACAGGCATGAGCCACCATGCCCTGCAGCTGCATGCTTCTGATGAAAATCTAATGCCCGATGATCTATCACAGTCTCCCATTGTCCCTAAAGGGACCGTCTAGTTTCAGCAAAACTAGTTGACGCTCTCACTGATTCCACATTTATTTCATTATATTTTACAATGTAATACTAATAGAAGCAGGCCAGACACAATGGCTCATGCCTATCATCCCAGCACTTTGAGAGGTTGAGGTGGGCAGATAACCTGAGGTCAGGAGTTTGAGACCAGCCTGGCCAACGTGGTGAAACACGATCTCTACTGAAAATACAAAATATCAGCCAGGTGTGGTGGCAGGTACCTGTCATCCCAGCTACTCGGGAGGCTGAGGCAGGAGAATTGCTTGAACCCAGCAGGCAGAGGTTTCAGTAAGCCAAGATTATGCCATTCCACTCCAGTCTGAGTGACAAGAGCAAAACTCCATCTCAATAAATAATAATAATAATAATAGAAGTGAAGTGCACAATAAATGTAATGTGCTTGAATCATCCTGAAACCAAGCCCCTGCCCCCAGGTCCATGGAGAAATTGTCTTCTACAAAATGAATCCCTGGTGCCAAAAAGATTGGGGATCACTGCTCTACAGATCTCAAAATATACAACTATTACATATCAATAAAAACTAAAATAAATCAATTAAAATTTAAAATAAAAATAAGTAGGACTGAAAAGTTACCACTGGATCATCAAATAAGGAAATGAATGGTGTCCTCATTAAAGGTGGTCTCAGTGGAGAAAGGGAACAGAAGTTGGACTCAAATGGATACAGAGAGCGAGTAGGGGACAGAGTAGCTTGGGAAGTGCAGGTAATTCCTCCAGGAAGCATTCTGGGAAGGGGAGAAGTGAGGCTGGTAAGGATGGAGGGGATGCTGGCTTGGGAGTGAGTGCCTTTGAAGCTGGGCATGTGCCCAGGGGACAGACATGGGGAGCGACACCTCACCCTGATGGGCAGATGTGCCCCAACCTGCTCCTGCCTGGGCTCCCCATTTTCACCCTGTAGATGCAGACTCAGGACACTGTTCCTTTTGTGGCCACAGGCCATGAATCTCTCAGGGGCCCGAAGCAGCAGCTGAGCCTCACCCGGGCTGTGTACAGAAAGGCAGCTGTGTACCTGCTGGATGACCCCCTGGTGGGTGTGGATGCCCACATCACTCAGCACATCTTTAACCAGGTCATTGGGCCTGGTGGGCTACTCCAGGAAACAATATGTTTGGGAACACGTGTCAGAGGGCACAGGGCAAAGGCAGAGGATGCTCTTAGCATCCAGTCCTAACCCAAGTTTCTCTCACTGCCCCCTTCCACTTGAGTCCAATTTTTTTCTCTTTATTGGTCAGCTTTTGCTGTGATGATGCTACATAACAAACAACCCCTCAGATTTCATCAGCTTACAACAACAGCTGTTTCTTGCTTATGCATCTGTGGTTTAACTACTACAGCTCTGCCTTGGCTGACTGGCCTGGGTCAGATGGACTCCTTGTCTTCTTGAGGTAGGCTGAAGGAGTCCCTTCTGCTTCTCTATTTGGAAATGCTATTTTCAAGAAAGGTAGCAGGAGCACAAGAAGAGGAGCTCTCCCCACTCTGAGTCCAGGGACAATACTCCCACCCCTACCCCCTGCTCCAGGAGGCTGGCCAAGCACATGGTGTATAACTTTTCTTTTCTTACTTTCCTTCCCCTTCCCTTCATTCCTCTTTCCCTTCCTCTCTCTCTCCCTCTTTCTCTCTCTCCCTGTCTCCTCCCTCCCTCCCTCCCTTCCTTCCTTTCTTTTTGATGGAGTCTGGCTCCATCATCTAGGATGAAATACAATTTCAGCTCACTGCAATCTCCACCTCCCAGTTTCAAGTGATTCTCAGGCCTCAGTTTCCCAAGTAGCTGTGACTACAGGTGTGTGCCACCATATCAAGCTTATTTTAGTATTTTTAGTAGATACAGGGTTTAGCCATGGTGACCTAGCTGGTCTTGAACTCCTGGCCTCAAGTGATCCACCTGCCTTGGCCTCCCAAAGTGCTGGGATTACAGGCATGAGCCATGGAACGTGGCCACATGTGTATTAACTTCTAACCCTTCCCTGCCCAGACACAGACTCTTGTGACCCACTCACTCCACATCCTGCCCCAGGCTGATTGGATCATGGTGCTGGCAGATGGGGCCATTGTAGAGATGGGTTCCAAGTAGGAGCTTCTTCACAAGAAGGGGGCCCTCATAAGTTTTCTGAATCAAGCCAGACAGCTAGGAGGTAGAGGAGAAGGAGGTACTACTAGGTGGGCTCTGCTGATTCTCTGTGCCTGGCTCTTGCCAACCTTGGGGGAAAAGACTCAAAGGGTCCTACTGGCAAGAGTGGATTGCTCTGGTCACACCCTCCCTGCAAGCTTATGCCCAAAAGCAGACGGCTCTCCAATAGGTCACCTCTTTCCAAGAAGAGCCAATAACACCATCTGTGAGCCAGGGGCTGTGATAAGTGCTTCTGTAAAAAACACACTATTTTCATTTGATTTTCACCATACCCTCAGAGGCATGTGAAATTACTGCTATCATTTTACAGATGAACAAAGAGAGTTAAATCAGTTGCCCAAGGTCACCAGATTAGAACTTGAGTGTGTCCAACTCCAGAGTCTATGCTTGCAGTTGCTATGGAGACAGCACAAGAAGATTTTGGTGCTAGAAAGCTACAACATGCCAGCTAGAGTTTCTAATAATCCAAAGAACACAAAGTGCGCTGGATACATGACAAGGTTCTGGAAGTAAAGTTGTCAAGCCAAGCTCACCCACAATGACTGAAAAGTAGCAACTCATAGCACATCACATATATTAGCTCACTGAATCAACTTAATGCCCCCGTGAGGCTGGTACTTGAATCATTTCCATTTCACAGATGAGGAAACTGAGGCCCAAAAGTTAAGAAACTAGTACCAGGTTACATGGCTTATAAGTGGCAGCACTGGGATTTGCACCCAAGCAACTTGATTCCAGAGAATGTGTTTTTTAATCACTAGGCTTTTTACTACCCCTGCATGACAAAGCAGAGTCACACCCAGGTCTCTCTCAATCTCAGATGTCGTCTCTTCTGAGAACATCTGCTTAGCATTGGCCGCTGGCTAAAAACACTAAGTGTTGATTTACAATGTCCCAGTCCTGAAGCTTGAAGCTAGAACTTGCCTGTTTGTATTGGTCAGCTTTTGCTGACAAATAGCCCCCAACTCTCAGCAGCTTAAACTAGCAGTTATTTCTTGCTTACAGGCCTGTGGTTAAGCTTCTATAGCTCTGCCTTTGGTTACTGGCCGTATCCTGGGGATTGTGGTGGGCAGGTGTCCTTCCTGGGAGAGATGGTACCTGAGGGTTGGGGGGAGTTAGCCAGAAAAGAGCACTCCAGACACAAGGAACTGCTTGAGCAAGGCTGTCAGGAGAAACAGAGATAACGTTATACAGTGTTCACTGCTGTTTTTCCAACCTCAAGTTCACGGCAGGTACTCAATTATATTCACTGATTGAAAAAATGAATGAGTGAGTGAATAGCCTGAATGATGTTCCTGGAAGAACTCAGAGTGGGGTGTTGAGGTTGCTGGAGACGTGGCAGGAGGCAGGACAGGGAAAATGGATGGTCAGAGCAGTTAAGGCCACATGGTCAGTGGGTGTGAAAGTGAGTATCTGGACCATGTTGTGCCAGAGGACTCTCTTGACCTTTTATCAGATTGTGAAAACAATCTAAAAAGAGATGACAAGGTAAAAATTTAAAGTGATATACAGAAAGAAATCAGCATGAGGCAATTTAGTTGGGAAGGCCTAAGCCTTAGATTTTTGGATATGGACTGATTCAAAAGAAACATGCAACTACCTTTTGACCCCAAATTCCTCAAACATACTATTGAGAGTAATTGATTTTCACTCAGTTCCCTTTAATATGGCTCCTAGTCCTTGTACTTTACTATAACTGTCTTTCCTGGGCCCATCAGTGACTTCTTTCTTGCCAAATTTAGAGACCTTTTTTTTTTCAGTCTGCCTATTGCCCAATCATTTAATTATATTTTAGAAGGGTTATCTTACATTTCTCTCATTTTACTTTTAGTGTTATAAGGATACAGGATATCCTTCCTGTTGAGTGATACAGGAAACAGTTACCTATTTTAAGTGTAACGTTTAGTGTTATAAATATTCCAAAGGTAATATGTGTTATTTGCAGTGAAGTAGAACATACAGATTTGATGATTTGTGATAATCCAGGCTAAGGTATTAATAGAATTTTTTCTGGCTTTGAAGTACATTTTATATGTTGTATATGTATTCTAAATAAAGTCAACTGAGGACAGAGACAGGAATCATTATTACATTAATAGTCAGATGTCAGTGGCTTTTGCTCCATATGCTTGCAGATGACATCAGCCACTCCTGCAATGTTTCTCAAGTATTTCTGGGGATCCCCGGAGGTGTATCTTGTTTACTCATAAACAAGTCTTATCTTAAAGGTACTATTACTGCTCTGTCAAATATCACCTCCACCAGACATCATAGACACTGCTCAACACCAGCACTAGCTCTCTAGAGCCCCTTAATTGTAAAGGGAAGGTTGATCTCTCAAAGTAAAAAGGTGGGGAAAAGATATACCAGCAAAATTAAAAGAATGTCATGTTAGTTATATTTATATCAGGTAACACTGACAACCAAAAAGCATTACTGAAGATAAAAAGATTATTACATAATAATTAAAAGGTTCATTTCACCAGTATTTAAACCTTGTTTTCTTCTATCACATTTCCATTCTAAGATGTACATTTTTTTTTCACATTTTAATATATCTGAAGTGAGAAAGCATCTTATACTCAGGTAAGCAGCAAAAGTAATATGATCATCATTGCTTGAACATTTACATCAAAACTTGTAGAATGGGTGTTAGAGGCATGGAAGAAAATTCTGGAGAAAATAGTGGTGCACTCTTAATAAAGGCTGAACAACAACTGATGATACAGGAAACAGTACTGTACGAAGAAGGGTGGACATGGATGACTCAGTCAAAAAATGACTCAAGTAAGTCAAACTTAATTCAAGGAAGGTTGAGGAATAATTTAGCCAATTCACTTTTCCCTAGTTTGATTGAGGAATAATTTACATGAAATAAAGTTTACCTATTTTAAGTGTAACGTTTAGTAAGCTTTGGAATTTACACACAGTCATGTATCCATGACCATGATCAAGATATAGATCATTGCCAAAAGTTCCTCATGGCCCTTTGCAGTGAGTGTCTTCCTCCAATTCCCAGTTCTAGGCAACCATCTATCTAGTTTCAGTCACTATGGTTTTACCTATTCCAGAATTTAGTATTAGTGAAATAATACAGTATATAGTCTTTTGTGTTTCACAATCTTCCATTTGTTTGGGTAATTACCTAGATTGCTGTGCTGTATTGTAAGTATATGTCTATGAGACAGTGTCAAATTACTTTCTATATGGTGTGATATATGAATTAAGATTAGCTTTTTAAAAATATGGATTTACAATTATCCCAGCAGTATTTGTAAAAAAAAAACTATTCTTTCTCCATTTCATTATATTAAAATTTTCAGGTCTACATCTGGACTGTCTCTGATTTTATCAGCAGTACACCATCTTAATTACTGTACTATTGAAATTGGGTATTGTGAATTCTTCAACATTGCTATTATTATTCTTCTTTCTCAAAATTCTTTTGGCTAGTCTTAATGTATTGTCTTTCCATCTAATTTTGGAATCAGCTGATAAATTTCTACAAAAATTTTGCTCAGATATTGATTGGCGAGAACTGACATCTTAACAATATTGAGTTTACCAATCCATGAACAAGTATATCTATCTGTTATCTGTGATATTTTCTGATAATGTTTTGCAGTTTTCAGCATACAGATTTTGTACATGTTTTGGTAGATTTATACTTAAGCATTTCATATTTTGGTGCTATTGTAAATAGTGCTTCATGTTAAAATTTGATTTCCAATTGTTCATACTAATTATGAACATACTAATTATGAACCATTGGAAATAAAATTTTATAGTATATAAAGCTAAAATTAATTTTATAGAACAGAATTTTATAGTATAGTATAGAGAACTATAATTAATTTTTGTATATTGACCTTGCATCCTAAAACTTTGCTAACTCACCAGTTTCATTAGTTTTTTGAAGAGTCTTTGGTATTTTCCAAGTACAAATCATGTCATCTATGAAGAGAATGTTTTATTTCTTCATTTCCAAGATTATTTATTGAATGATTGACCTCATTTTACAAGATGGAACCTTCAGTTCTTCGATATAATTATAAATTCTGGTGACAGTGGAAATGCCTGTCTTGTTTCTGACATTAAGAGAAAAACATTTGATTTTTTTATCATTAGATATGATGTTCGATGTAGGGTTTTTTGAGATGCCCTTTATTAGGTTGAAGAAGTTCTCTTCTGTTCTAAGGTGGATGAGAATGTAATGCTTTACTCTTCATTTTTGATAAACTCCACAAACTAGACATTATTAGTAGTAGAACTTTTAGAGAAAATTTTTTTTCCTTTTCTTTTATTGAAGTTTAGGTTTTGGGGTACATGTGAAAAACATGCAAGATTGTTGCATTGGTACAACATGGCGGTGTGATTTGCTGCCTTCCTCCCCATCACCTATATCTGGCATTTATCCCCCATGCTATCCCTCCCCAACTGCCCACCCCTCTCTGTCCCTCCTCTATTTGCCCTAACAGACCCCAGTGTGTGATGCTCCCCTCCCTGTGTCCATTTGTTCTCATTGTTCAACACCCGCTTATGAGTGAGAACATACGGTGTGTAATTCTTTGTTCTTGTGTCAGTTTGCTGAGGATTATGTTTTCCAGGTTCATCCATGTCCCTGCAAAGGACACAAACTCATCGTTTTTTATGACCGCATAGTATTCCATGGTGTATATGTGCCACATTTTCTTTGTCTAGTCTATCATTGATGGGCATTTGGGTTGGTTCCAGGTCTTGGCTATTGTAAACAGTGCTGCAGTGAATATTCTTGTGCATGTGTCCTTATAGTAGAACGATTTATAATCCTTTGGATATATATCTGGTAATGGGGTTGCTGGGTCAAATGGAATTTCTATTTCTAGGTCCTTGAGGAATCGCCACACTGTCTTCCACAATGGTTGAACTAATTGACATTCCCACCAACAGTGTAAAAGTGTTCCTATTTCACCACATCCTCTCCAGCATCTGTTGTCTCCAGATTTTTTAATGATCGCCATTCTAACTGGCGTGAGATGGTATCTCAATGTGGTTTTGATTTGCATTTCTCTAATGACCAGTGATGATGAGGACTTTTTCATATGTTTGTTGGCCTCATATATGTCTTCTTTTGTAAAGTGTCTGTTCATATCCTTTGCCCACTTTTGAATGGGCTTGCTTGTTTCTCTCTTGTAAATCTGTTTTAGTTCTTTGTAGATTTTGGATATCAGCCCTTTGGCAGATGGGTAGACTGCAAAAGTTTTTTCCCACTCTGTTGGTTGCTGATTCACTCTAATGACTGTTTCTTTTGCTGTGCAGAAGCTGTGAAGTTTGATTAGGTCCCATTTGTCTATTTTGGCCATTGTTGCCAGTGCTTTTGGTGTTTTAGTCATGAAGTCCTTGCCTACGCCTATGTCCTGAATGGCTTTCCTAGATTTTCTTCTAGGGTTTTTATGGTGTTAGGTGTTATGTTTAAGTCTTTAATCCATCTGGAGTTAATTTCAGTGTAAAGTGTCAGGAAGGGGATCCAGTTTCTGCTTTCTGCACATGCCAGTTTTCCCAACACCATTTACTAAACAGGGACTCCTTTTCCCATTGCTTGTTTTTGTCAGGTTTATCAAAGATTGTATGGTAGTAGGTATGTTGTGTAGCCTCCGATGCCTCTGTTCTGCTCCATTGGTCTATGTCTCTGTTTTAGTACCAGTACCATGCTGTTTTGATTACTGTAGCCTTGTAGTATAGTTTGAAGTATGGTAGTGTGATGCCTCTCGCTTTGTTCTTATTGCTTAGAATTGACTTGGCTATGAGAGCTCTCTTTTGCTTCCATATGAAGTTTAAGGCAGTTTTTTCCAGTTCTGTGAGGAAGGTCACTGGTAGTTTGATGGGGATAGCATTGAATCTGTAAATTACTTTGGGCAGTATGGCCATTTTCACGATATTGATTCTTCCTAACCATAAACATGGAATGTTTCTCCATCTGTTTGTGTCCTCTCTTATTTCATTGAGCAGTAGTTTGTAGTTCTCCTTGAAGAGGTCCTTTACGTTCCTTGTTAGTTGTATTCCTAGGTATTTTATTTTCTTTTTAGCAATTGTGAATGGCAGTTCGTTCTTGATTTGGCTCTCTTTCAGTCTGTTATTGGTGTATAGGAATGCTTGTGATTTTTGCGCATTGATTTTGTGTCCTGAGACTTTGCTGAAGTTGCTCATCAGTTTCAGGAGATTTTGGGCTGAGACAGTGGGGTCTTCTAGATATATAATCATGTAATCTGCAAATAGAGACTTCCTCTTTTCCTGTTTAAATACACTTTATTTCTTTTTTTGTTGTTGTTGTTGCCTGATTGCTCTGGCTAGAACTTCCAATACTATATTGAATAGGAATGGTGAGAGAGGGCATCCTTGTCTAGTGCCAGATTTCAAAGAGAATGCTTCCAGTTTTTGCCCATTTAGTATGATATTGGCTGCTGGTTTGTCATAAATAGCTTTTATTATTTTGAGATATGGTCCATCAATAGCTAGTTTCTTTTTTTTTCTTTTTTTAAAATTTTTTATTGCATTTTAGGTTTTGGGGTACATGTGCAGAACGTGCAAGACAGTTGCATAGGTACACACATGGCAGTGTGTTTTGCTTCCTTTCTCCCCTTCACCCACATTTGTCATTTTCCCCAGGCTATCCCTCCCCAGTTCCCCCCCCCGCTGGCCCTCCCCTTTTCCCCCCAATAGACCCCAGTGTTTAGTACTCCCCTCCCTGTGTCCATGTGTTCTCATTTTTCATCACCCTCCTATGAGTGAGAATATGTGGTATTTCATTTTCTGTTCTTGTGTCAGTTTGCTGAGAATGATGTTCTCCAGATTCATCCATATCCCTACAAACGACACAAACTCATCATTTCTGATTGCTGCATAATATTCCATGGTGTATATGTGCCACATTTTCCCAATCCAGTCTATCATTGATAGGCATTTGGGTTGGTTCCAGGTCTTTGCTATCGTAAACAGTGCTGCAATGAACATTTGTGTGCATGTGTCATTATAGTAGAATGATTTATAGTCCTTTGGATATATACCCAGTAATGGGATTGCTGGGTCAAATGGAATTTCTATTTCTAAGGCCTTGAGGAATCGCCACACTGTCTTCCACAATGGTTGAACTAATTTACACTCCCACCAACAGTGTAAAAGTGTTCCTTTTTCTCCACATCCTCTCCAGCATCTGTTGTCTCCAGATTTTTTAATGATCGCCATTCTAACTGGCGTGAGATTGTATCTCAATGTGGTTTTGATTTGCATCTCTCTAATGACCAGTGATGATGAGCATTTTTTCATATGATTGTTGGCCTCATATGTGTCTTTTGTAAAGTGTCTGTTCATATCCTTTGCCCATTTTTGAATGGGCTTGTTTGTTTTCTTCCTGTAAATCTGTTTGAGTTCTTTGTAAATTCTGGGTATCAGCCCTTTGTCAGATGGGTAAACTGCAAAAATTTTTTCCCATTCTTTTGGTTGCTGATTCACTCTAGTGACTGTTTCTTTTGCTGTGCAGAAGCTGTGGAGTTTCATTAGGTCCCATTTGTCTATTTTGGCTTTTGTTGCCAATGCTTTTGGCGTTTTGGTCATGAAGTCCTTGCCTACTCCTATGTCCTGGATGGTTTTGCCTAGATTTTCTTCTAGGATTTTTATGGTGCCAGGTCTTATGTTTAAGTCTTTAATCCATCTGGAGTTAATTTTAGTGTAAGGTGTCAGGAAGGGGTCCAGTTTCTGCTTTCTGCACATGGCTAGCCAGTTTTCCCAACACCATTTATTAAACAGGAAATCCTTTCCCCATTGCTTGTTTTTGTCAGGTTTATCAAAGATTGTATGGTTGTAGATATGCTGTGTTGCCTCCGATGCCTCTGTTCTGTTCCATTGGTCTATATCTCTGTTTTGGTATCAGTACCATGCTGTTTTGAATACTGTAGCCTTGTAGTATAGTTTGAAATCCGGTAGTGTGATGCCCCCCGCTGTGTTCTTTTTGCTTAGAATTGACTTGGCTATGCGGGCTCTCTTTTGGTTCCATATGAAGTTCATGGTGGTTTTTTCCAGTTCTGTGAAGAAAGTCAATGGTAGCTTGATGGGGATAGCATTGATTCTGTAAATTACTTTGGGCAATATAGCCATTTTCACGATATTAATTCTTCCTAACCATAAACATGGAATGTTTCTCCATCTGTTTGTGTCCTCTCTTATTTCGTTGAGCAGTGTTTTATAGTTTTCCTTGAAGAGGTCCCTTACGATCCTTGTAAGTTGTATTCCTAGGTATTTTATTCTTTTTGTAGCAGTTGTGAATGGCAGTTCGTTCTTGATTTGGCTTTCTTTAAGTCTGTTATTGGTGTAGAGGAATGCTTGTGATTTTTGCACATTGATTTTATATCCTGAGACTTTGCTGAAGTTGCTTATCAGTTTCAGGAGTTTTTGGGCTGAGGCGATGGGGTCTTGTAGGTATACTATCATGTCGTCTGCAAATAGAGACAATTTGGCTTCCACCTTTCCTATTTGAATACCCTTTATTTCTTTTTCTTGCCTGATTGCTCTGGCTAGAACTTCCAGTACTATATTGAATAGGAGTGGTGTTTCTTGAGGGTTTTAGCATAAAGGGCTATTGAATTTTGTCAAAGGCCTTCTCTGCATCAATTGAGATAATCATGTGGTTTTTGT